GGAGTAACCCCTGAGCCTTTTAGTCGCGAGAACAGAAAGCCGGCAGGTAGGTATAAGGTACTATGAGGCCTAAGAGGAGAAATTCTCCTGCCCTGTGACAGAAGGGAAACTTGGAGTGGGTCTTGAAGAAAGAATGAGTTTCCCAGGCCAACAGACATTCCATCTCATCAGGGCTAGATGGACAAAGCCAGGAGGCCACAATGTAATTGACTGATAGACTGAAGTGCTGGGGACTGAACCCAAGGCCTTATGCATGCCAGGCAAGTGTCCTACCACTGAGCTGAACCCTCCCACCCTGCATTTTAATTTTTGCTGTTATGCTGAAAACAAAATAATTAAGTTTCTTTTTTTTCCCCCAAGCCACCCCACCAGTGTGACTACACACTCTGAAAACTGAATCTCTCAAATGAGATTGTGGTGTAAACACAAAATGGTCCAGCAACCATGACCAGGGCAGATTCATCCATTCCCAAGGTGGCCCAGCTGGTCAGACTGCTGGACAAGTCTTCGCACACCATTCCTACACAGCAAATACAGTGAGCTCGGGAAGGTATTTGCAAAGCCCAAGAAAAATGTTGCGGTTATTCTGAGTAAACATGAGCATAGCTTTGAGGGAAGAATAAATTTTGAGATCTAAGTTTTAGATACTTTACATCTAACTGTGTTACCATTACCCCCCCCCCCCAAAAAAAAATAAAGTGGTAATTTTCCAATCCCATCAAACCTTTAGCCAACCCTATTAACTAATAAAAGGACTAATTGGAGGGCTGGGGCTGTAGCTCAATGGTAAAGCGCTTGCCTCGCACTTGTGAGGCATTGGGTTCCATCCTCAGCACCATATTAAAAAAATAAATAAATAAAGATATTGTGTTCATTTACAACTAAAAGAATATTTTTTTTAAAAAAGGACTATTTGGAAATCAAGCTTTCCTCTCCATCTTCTCTTGTTTTTTGATAGAAAAACTAAAATATCAGAGAATGGGGGGTACAGGGCACTCTGGGGATACATTTCTAGAATTTAGGTGACCTGAGAATGGGACTGGCCAGTATGATTGGCATCCTTTACCATCCATTCATCCATCTATGACGGAATTGCAGTAACTTCAGGACAGACTGTCTGAGCCAAAGACCTGCCATGAGAATCCTTTCATTTTAAAAACTGCTATCCATTATTTTCAGGAAATCGTATTACTATTATCCAAATTATTCAGTAATTGCTTTAATCAATCATTTTCTTATATCCTACATTTGGTTGAAGGGTTTCAGTGTTTTAATTATGTTATGATGTTGACCCAGTAAAACAGGCAGAGTCGTGGAAACTTAAACTGATGTTGTTTTAACTTTTAGCTGTTTTGGTCTTTCAGCAGGAATCAGTCAGGCAAAGAATCTCAAGAAGAGTCAACGGATCCCTCAGAAGTTACAAATGAGGGCTGGTGGTGTGGCTCAGTGGTAGAGCCCATGCACAAGGCCCTGGGTTCCATCCTGGGCATCATGAACCAAAAAGGACAACTGGGATAAGTTGTCAGGTATCTCTGTGAACCCTAGTCCTCAGAGAATGGGGATGTGATGGTGCATTCACTGTTCTTACTAAGGGACCCAAGTTTTGGAGGGCTTTCTATTGCTTCTGCTTCTATTGTTAAGGGTTTTATAAAGTCCAAGGAAGGAGTAGGAACTGAGAATGTGAGTTTGGAGTCAGATGGACCTGGGAGGAAGCCAGAGTCTCCTTTTACTTTTAGTAGTTCTCTCATCCAAATAAATGTACCATAATTTCTTAGTTTCCATCCTTTTAATTTATGAATAGCACTACATCAAATGCCTTTGTATGAAAATCATGGTTCCCTGTGGCAGATGCTGTTGGCTGTTTACCTAAAAGCCTCTTCGTGTGAATAATTCCCAGTGCTATTCAGGCAGCCAGGGGCCTGAGGAGCCTGGTGGGCCTGAGCCATCATGGCAGCCTGTCAATCATGCCCTCTGTCAATGCTGTGTCTAGGTGTGTACATGGGTCCCCATTTATATTCTTTTGGGGATGTGGTCTTGCTGTGTTGCCCTGGATGGTCTTGAACTTTGTGAGATCCAATAATCCTCCCGCCTCAGCCTTCCAAGTAGCCTGGGTTACAGGTGGGCACCATCATGTGTCCCCAGTTTAAACAATGAAATGAGAAGGAAGTGCTCTGAAGGCTTCTGGAGGGCACAATGGGACAAGGAAGTTCCAGGTCCTTCACTGTACAGATTCTAAACAAACTCCGTGATTCTTCACTACCAGATTTCTTAGTTGGCAATAAATGTCTGATTACTGAAATCACGTGAGTTTTCTGTCACTTGCAGATGAAACCATTTTAACTCCTACACTTTAAATTATTTCCAGAGCAGGACCCCTATGTGGAATTTCTAGATATGGATTATTGATGTTTACAGTCTAATCTCACTCTGGAAGAGCTTTGATTGGGACTCCCATCAGCCCACCCGAAACCACCTTCTCACCACAGCCTCCTCATTGAGTCCCCGAGTATTATCATTCTTTATTGCTAATTTGGTAGGCAGATTTTTACTACCTCAAAATCCACGGTTGTTCATCTTCATTTGGTGAAGTGGTATGTGATAGGACTTGGCCTTGGGGCATCCTCCCAGGGAGGAGAGTGTGGTCAGGAGGAGGTGGAGGTGGCATCCTATAAGGGCCATCAGGGGAATCACATGAGAGGGATCAAGTACTCATGCAGGTGAGACCAGAAATATGAGGGTGAAAAGCTAGCCTGAGCCTGCAGGGGTGACCAGAGATCACAGACCACAGCCAGGCCAGGTGGGGAACAGCGTTCTGAAGCACCTGTATCAAAACACTGAGTCTCCTCAGCCACACTGAGCCTCTCTTGCGGGTGATTCCACCCAGAGATGAGCTTAAAGACACGATTTGTTAAGACCCCGAACACAGAAAAAGATAAGGCCAAAATGACCTAACATCTGCTAAATCGTTTTTTCAAATTTTCAATAGAGACAAAGTTAAACATGAGGATGAAGTCTCCTTCTATTGAAACTAAAAAAAAAAATAAAATAAAATAAAATTTTTTGTATCAGGATTCATTCATTCAGAAAAACTGACAGGGTGGAATGTGATGGACATCACTATCCAAAGTACAAGTATGAAGACACGAATTGGGTGTCAACATACTTTATATACAGAGATATGAAAAATTGTGGTATATATGTGTAACAAGAATTGTCATGCAAAAAACAAAAAACAAAATACATGTATAAAGACATGATTTGGTGTGAACATGTATGAAGACACGAATTGGGTGTCAACATACTTTATATACAAAAATATGAAAAATTGTGTTCTATATGTGTAATAAGAATTGTAATGCACTCTGCTGTCATGTATTTAAAAAAATAAAATCCATTAAAAGAAAAAAGAAACACTGACAGAAAAACACTCCAGGTATTTCAAACAGATGGAATTTCATTTAGGGAATTTTTACAAACATGTCAGGAAATCTGAAAGAGCAAAAGAAAAGAAAAGGGGTGGGGGTGCTGGAGAAACCAAAAGAAATTAATTGATTTGAATGAAATAATTTGAATTTGAGTATTCTCATTGACTTGAGTTAATCTGAATAAGCTCCCCACTCTGTCCTCTTGGACTGTGGCCTTCCTGACCGGTCCTCTCTGCTTCCCAAGCGCCTTCTCTGGGAGTGGGTGTCAGAGGGAAATGCAGAAAGGTGCATGCTAACCTTTCCCTGGACCTTCCCCACAGCCCTTCCCTGCTCTAACTTAGGAAGGCTGAGCTAGCAAGGTATAAATATGGACCCCTTGAAAAGAGCTACCCTTGCCCTTGACCTTCCTCATCTCTTCACTTTACTGTGTGCTCCAAATTCCCCCAAGTAGAGCCATTAGGGTTTAAAATACACACTTAGAAAGCTAATGCCAGCTCTGCAGGAAAGAGGGGTCTGCTGTCCATTTGGAGCTTCCTGACGTTTAATCCAATGTTCGATTCAGGTTAGATAATACATGCCAAGAACAAGGTCCTAAGTCCCAAAATGGTGTCACTGGACTAAAATCAAAGTGTGGATAGGCTGTGCTCCTTTATGAAGGGTCCAGGGACAAAGGATTTCCACACTTTCACCAGCTCTGGAGATTGCTCACATTCCAGGCTTGGGCCCCCTTTCTCCATCTTTTCAGCCGCCACAGCAGGTGAGCCCCTCTCTGCATTTCTCTGGCTTTTCTTCTCAAGTCTTAGCATCACTCAGATCTCCCCTGAGCGCAGCCTGGAAGGTTCTGGTCGTGGTCATGAGATTAGACTGGGCCCCACCTCAAGATCTGGACCTTTCATCATCTGCAAGTGAGTCTGACACTCAGATTCAGGAGGAGGACCTGAGCGGTTACTCTACTACTTTCTCCCAATTCTTATCACCCCAAAGTCACTGCCTGCGACAAGATTTCCTAAAATCCTTCTTCCAAAAGCTTCAGCCGTTTTGCATCTTTCTCTTAATGTCTCTGGAAAAACATTCCGGGTCCCAACCTCGAGCCTCTTCCTCCTGGGAAGGGGAGAGAACCCGCCACCAAGTCAAAACCGTCTAGTGGCCAGGCGGGGACTCAATGCGGCCCCCACGCTGACCTCTGTGGGCAGAGGCGGGGAGATCCGCACTTTGTTCCTCCAGGGGCTCCGAGGTGGCCCCCTGCGGTGGGGACCCACTGAGGCGTCCATCCTTGGAAGCCTCCCTGCAACCATCAGGGACACGAGTGCTCCTTCTCAGCTTTTGTCCCCTGCGAGGCCGCGTCCCTCGCAGCTCTGTGGGCTGCGACAAGCTTGTCCTGCAGCGGGGCCACCAGGATTTCCCGGTGTCGGTGCCAGGTGTCCCCGTCGCCGGCTCCCCCTGCCGCCCCAGCCCCGCTCTCCACGTAGGGTTCCTCAGCTGTCCTGCACCTCCGCCCTCGCCCTCTCAGTAACCGGTGCCCGGTGCCCGCTGTGACCGCCCCCTCTGCGTCTCCATGGCGCTGGGCGACGCTAGGAGCCGCAGTGCCAGGACCGGCCCGCCGAGGTCGCCCGGGCCCCCCAACCGTGTGGCCCGGGTTAAAAGCTCGCGACAGGGCTGCCACAGGGCTGGGACCTGGTGTGTTCCGAGGTTGTGCACCCGGCACCGCCTCATCCCCGCGGGGGCCACCGCTTCTCCCTGTAGGAACGTCCAGGCCCCGGACTGTGCGCCGCCCCAGGGCGCTTTGTGGGCTCCAGGTGGGTAGCTTGGCTTTTCTCGGAAACGCATGTAAATTGCTGTGTGCTGGGAGAAGACCATAAAGGGGCCACTCCTGTCCTCCTCCTTGCTCCCTGGGACTCCGAGGTGGAGTCAGCAACTGTCCAAGCTGGGTGAGCAGGGGGCTCAGAGCTGGGTCTGCCCCGCATCCCTGGAGACCAAGGGCAGCCCTCCTGACCCCCCTCATCCCCTCAGCTTCCCGCCTCCACTGTCCCATTTCCAGGCCGCTGGGGGTGGGGGAGAGTAGATAAGTAAAGCCCAGCACAGGTGAGGCACTCACATCTGGACCTTCAGTAACTATTCTGTAAGGAACCAACCTATCCATGGTGGCTTTGAAGCGCCCCAGTCTTTGTTCACCTGGCCCACATTTACTGTACATAGAAATGACATAAAAAATTCTTGTGACAAAATATTATGCTGTCTTAACAGAGCATTTACAGAATCTATGTGTGTAGTTTATAAGAGAAGGTTGGTGACATTTTGATGTTGGTCTATAAAAATTATAATTTTTCCCTTATGTATGTGTCTCTGTGTTCTGCTGGGTTCGTTCTTTCTTTCCAGAATGCTTTTCACTCATGTTGGAATCATTTGTTATGCAGCAATAAGATAGTAATACCAATGAGGTCTAATTTGAAATTGTGAACTAATCCAGCTAATAGCTCACACAGCACCTACATATGTTGACTGGATTTCTCCTGAAAATTTAAAATCTCCCATAGTGCCCTTAAGTGTGTTGCAGTGCCTCTGAGCACCTCAACATACAGTTTGGGAATTGTGGTTCTAAAGCACAAAGCAAAAAGGATTGATTCCTCAAGAAGATTTGTCAATTCTAAATTTATAGGTACCTAATAACATAGCCTTAGAATATATAAAACAAAATTGGCAGAAGTAGAAAAATTTATATTCATATCCCTCTCTCATTAACTGATAGAATACTCGTATAAAATTAATCCCAGCAGTTCGGGAGGCGGAGGCAGGAGGATCTTGAGTTCAAAGCCAGCCTCAGCAAAAGCAAGACACTAAACAACTCAGTGAGACCCTGTCACTAATTAAAATACAAGATAGGGCTGGGGGTGTGGCTTAGTGGTCAGTACTCCTGAGTTCAATACCCCCCCACTATCTCCCTCCCCCCAAATAAAGACAAATGTAATGGGAAACCATTAGACAGATTTGATTTATATTTCAAAAACATTATTCTGGCCCCGGGTAGAGAACATTATTCAGACTCACTGCAGGCAAGAGAACTGTTGCGGTTGCACAGTAGAAAAGTGATCGTGAGATCGCAGAGCCAGGTTCCTTTTGACATTTACTTTGCTCAATAACCCCATTTCTTTCCAGTTTCTTTAGCTCCACCAGGTCTAGACTCAAAAGCCCTTTCGATGTAAGACAACTTTGGACAATCTCTCTCTAGAAACCTTTTTATAGGGGAAAACTACAATAATTTCTGAAAACCTTTGTCCATGTGAATGCAGATCAGAGGGCTCACCGTTACCTTTAGCTATCATATGTAGGGACCTTTCAGAGCTGGCTGATTTAAGAAACAAAATCAGTATTAATTGGGTGGTTTTGTATGACTAACAGAATAATAATAACATCAACAATGTAGTTTATTGGGGTATTTCCAGTGTGTGCCAGGCATTGTATAAAGTGCTTTATAAATTTACTTAATCTATACAACAACCATATTTCATTTGACAGTTGGCTTCATAACTCACCTAAAGCCAGTGAGTCTAGTGGTAGAGACAACACTAGACTACTTGCCTTCAAAGCCCGCATTCTTAAGCACTTTGATATTTATCATGCCTGGCAAGACTTGTGCCATTTTGAAATCAGTGTGTCCCTGGTAATACTTGGTACCCAGTGTTAGTGTTAATTGCTTTCCCTTCTATCTGAGTCCATGGGTGCTGCCCCCATTTTAAAGAATCCTAAAGAAAGAAGACGGATCCGTAAACATGGAAATTGGAAATTGAACAGTTCCTTTCTGCACTCTCTATCTTGACTCCCCAGCCCCATTTAAGATAAGCAAAACACTCTAATAAGATTTTCACAGAAGAGTGTGCAGCAATATTTGTCCCCATTTAGAGGGAGGAGGTGAGGCCGGGGATGTGGTTCAATGGTAGAGGCTTGCTTGTGTGAGGTGTGAAGTTCAATCTCTAGCTGCAAAAAAAAAAAAAAAAAAAAAATAGAAAAGAAGGAAGGAAGGTTGGTTGCTCCTAGAGGGAAAGACAAGTTCTGTACTTTGAAAAAGACACCTATATGTTGGGTTTCAGGACAAGTGACTGTTTTCAGAATCCAAGTGGAATCTCACACTACAAAACAATGCCAAGAGCTAAGGAAGGGAAACGCAAAACCAAAGGGGCTTCCCTTCCCATTGTCCCAATTCTTCAAAAGTTCCTGAAAACCTATGAGAAGCACTGCTCGCAGTCTCAGACGTCTGTGTGCCCAGCCATCAGAAGGGACCTGAACAGCAGCATTGACAGTGAACAGAGCCTCAGGAAGGTGAGCAGGGGCCGTCTGTCTTTAGTCTTCTCTAAAACAGACTGACTGGGGGTCACGCCTCCAGGAACAAGGGTCCTCAGTCACCCCCTCTGCATTCCTGACCCAATGAAGTTCAAAGCCTTGATCATGGCCAGGGATCAAGGGCCTGCTCAGCCGAGCTCCTCTCCTACCTCTTGCTCCTGCGGCAGCACCTGTCCCCAGCGGGCCTGCCTTTTCTCACCCCACTTCTCACCTGGAGTGACCACCTGGCTCCTCTCCCCACTCCACATCTGGAAGGTCCAGTTCCAGAGCTTCCCTCATCATCACAGTACCTCCCCTCCTAGCACACCAGCCACATGCCCTGGCCCTCCAAGTGAACGTCTCCCTGCCGTGGCCAACCCTGTGGCCCTGTCTTCAAGCCAGACTCCTGCTCACCCACCTTCCTTGTGAGGCCCATCTCACGTGCGGTGAGCTCTGCTTTTCGGGGGGGGGGGGAGAGTCCTGATGTCATGCCTTTTCTGAGATTAAATATAGGGCATGAATGTGAGGGGGACAGGAGAGACGAGGTCACCACCAAAATAAAACAAGTACCTCATGGGAAAGGGTCAGGTGATAGACCAGATGGGGTGCCTCGTGCCCCAAAGACAGCCTCGCTACTCCTCCATCACCAGCCCAGAACGGTGGTCCATGTTCTGATAATCAGAGATGGCAGATTTCCTAGAATGTGGAGTGCCAAACAAGACACCAGGTCAAGCAAGATTATTAGAGATGGGAGCTTTGAAATAGAAGATCATTATTCTAAGGCTACTTTGGGCTGAATCCATCCCATCATGTTCTCCCTGAATGTGTTTTGGGGCAAGAAGATGATTCCACTGCACCTCACAACAGAAGAACCCATGTTCCTCTCTAACCTTCCCTCTTCACCCCCAGGCTGCTGCCCTTATCCCCCTCTTCTTCCCCACTCCCCTCCCACCCCATCTGCCCTCCACATCTTACACACACAAACATCTTCTTGTTCATCCTGATGGAAAATCTTCCCACGGCTATTCTTTTTGTGGTAAACTAATTACTAGTCAATATTTTCTACTGTAGTTCTTGCACTTGGCCTCTACTACTTAATGATAAGGATTAATCATAAATCTTGCTCAAATGAGTCCTCTCAGCGATGATTTCCAATTGTTTTTATTACAATCACCAAAAGAAGTGCAATTAGCATTCCAAACCCAGTAAATAAGCACCAGAGAGCATCAATACAACCATAAGGGCTGTTGACGCTGTTGACTTGGATGGGCTGCCTAGGGAGGGCCTCCATTATAATTCTGAATAGCATTAAAATAAAAGCCTCATGAGACAATCATTATTTTTGCTCCATAAGATGTACTCAGATAATTTCTAGTTTTTTCTATTTTATTAAAGAGGAGAAAAGAAAAATTGGTTGAATCCTACTAAATTGATTTTCTGACCCAATAGCAGGGGAAAAAAAAAAAAAAGTCTCTGCCCTAAAGTCCACTGAGCTTTGCACGAGGCAGGAACTTTGTAAATTGGCGCTGGAGTACTGCCAATGTGCACCTGGCCCACAGTTAATAATATTCTAAAAGCTATTCCGACGTTGTCTAATGACAATATTCCTTTTCCACACACACTGATGCCCACCTGTAGCTTTTTCTTATGCTCCAGTTTACACTTGTGAGACCTGACAACTCCCCTCCAAGCATCCTACCAGTGTCCTTGGAACCTTTGCTCCTGACCATTCGAGATGAGCGCTACATGCTGGGGAAAGAGATCTGCATCTGGGGCCTTCAGCTGAGCAACCCCGAGATCGCCAGGCTTGTGAGTCATGGTTTTAAAAATGTTTCTTCAGGGGGCTGGGTATATAGCTCAGTTGGTAGAGCGCTTGCCTCACATGCTATAAGGTCCTGGGTTCAATCCCCAGCACACACACACAAAAAAAAAGTTCCTTCAGGGTTGGGGCTGTAGCTCAGTGGCAGAGCTTACCTTGCATGTGTGAGGCACCAAGTTCAATCCTCAGCACCACATAAAGATAAATAAACAAAATAAAGATATTGTAAAAACTAAAATAATATTTGAAAAAAAGACTTTGGATCTGTTCTAGGCTTACCTTAAAAAAAATGTTCCTTCAAACTTTAAAATTGTATATAAGCGTTTAACATCATATATTCCAGCCCTAGTTTATTTGGCTATTGATAGACATGTTGAAAGGTTTTCTTTTCTTTTCTTTTTTTATCACTACATTTTTAGTAAAACATTTCAAATATATAAAAATGGAGAGAATAATAGAACTCACATCTGTAGACTCACTTCTCACACATAATCTACTTTTTTTTTGGGGGGGGGGTACTGGTAATTGAACCTGGAGGCATTTTACCACTGAACCAATCCTCAGCCTTTGTTCTTTCATTTTTTTATTAATTATTTTTTATTTTTGATATAGGGTCTCATTACCTTGCTTAAGGCCTTGCTAAATTGCTAAGGCGGGTCTTGAACTGCGATCCTCTTGCCTCAGTCTCCCAGGTTGCCGGGATTACAGGTGTGAGCCACCACATCCGACATAATACGCTTTTTTAAGGGATAAAATTGTAGATATTTACCAATATAACAGCTTTAGCCTCATTTCACTTCTTTTCTCAATCTACTTCCCAGAGGTACCACCAGCCTATGTTGATGTGTGCTGACCCCTTGCATATTTTATGCTTTTATTATTTATGTTCCTGTGAGCTTAATTGTATAAATGGAATTGTACGATGTATGATATTGTGACTTATCTTTCTCATTCACATTATATTGTCAAGATTTCTCCACACTCATTACTTTCAAGTGCTGTCATATCCTATATCACATATACAATTACAGATTAACTGTTTTTTAAAATTGAACTTCCATTATTGCTGAAGAGAAGGACTTCACTTCTGGAACAGGCAAATAATTCAGACCAATTCTTTCGCTGACAACAGCAACATAAGCTAAAATGTGGAAAACACACACACACACACACACACACACACACACTACCAATGACCTAATGGAAGGTGGAGACCCAGGGAAGAGAACATTACAATTATCCCTGGAGCTGTCTGGTTTAAAAGAAGGCAGTTGAGAAACAGAAAAGTTGAACAGTGCTTTTGGCAATCTTGCCAACGCTAGGAAACACTGGCTTTCTGAGGAGACCCTAGTGGACTTTCCCGTGCTCTGGGCTGAGACTGAAAAGGGCCGCAACCTAGGAACACAACTGAACCACACACAGAGAGGTCCTTAGGGACCACAGATTATTTTCTGATCATCTCAAGTTTTAATGTTAAGTTGAGGGATCCTAGATTGCTGGTGCCCCATGGATCAGGAGCAAATGAAAATATTCCTTGGAAGACAATTACAACATCATATGCCTCCAATTATATCTGTAAACAATTTTGTCAAGAATAAAATCCAGTATGCAAAAAAAGAAAAAAACTGTGTGGGGAGACAAAATGGCATGAAGAAAAGATACACAGGCTGTAGAAACAATGACTCTGTAAATAGCCCACAAGGACTCAAATATTTGGATTATCAGACATGTACTTTTAAAGATCTATGTAAGCACAGCTGGGCGTGGTGGCGCACACCTCTAATCCCAGTGGCTCAGGAGGCTGAGACAGGAGGATCTTGAGTTCAAAGGCAGCCTTAGCAAAAGCAAGATGCTAAGCAACTCAGTGAGACTCTGTCTCTAAATAAAATACAAAATAGGGCTGGGGATGTGGCTCAGTGGCCAGGAGTCCATGAGTTCAATCCCTGGAACACTCTCCCCTCCCCACCAAAAAAAAAAAAAATCTATGTTTACAGTGTTCAAAGAAATATGAGACAAAAACAAAAACACACACACACACAAAAAAAACCCCAAGATTTTGCAAAAATTAGGGGAAAAAAAGAACTAGATGGACATTCTATATAGTAATAGAAATTAAAACTTCAACAAATGGGTTTAACAGCATTTTAAACAAATTTAGAGTGATAATTAGTAAAAATGATGTGGCCAGAACAAAATATGTGTAGTGAAGCATGAAATAACAGAAGATAGTCAGAAGAGAAGAGACCTCGTAGGTAAGTGAGGTAGTCAACATATGTATCACTGGAGTCCCAATAGGAGAAGAGAATAGAGTGGGATAAAAGCAATACTTGAAACGATAATAGCTAAGAACTTTCTCACACTGGTGAAAGACATTACCTCATATTCAAGCAGAGCTATGAATCCCAAACAAGTTAAATGCAAAGAGAACTTAAAAACACCATATTGAAACTACTGAAGAAGAGAAAAATCTTACAATTGATCAATGGAAAACACACTGGAGACAGAACCTGATTTTATGTTGCTCAACTTATAATTTTTTGACTTTATGGTGGAAAGTCATTCAGCACTTTATTATAAAATGAGCTTTATGTTGGATGATCTTGCCCCACTGAAGGCTAACATAAGTGTTCTGGGCATGTTTAGGATGGGTCAGGCTAAACTCTGAAGTTTGGTACCTTGGGTATATTAAGTGCATCTACTCTTAGCATTGTAAGTTGAGATGCATTTTATACATCCAGGACATAACCCCATCATAAGTCAAGGAGCACCTGTACCTTTAAAGGAGCAGTAATAAAACTGACACCTGCCAAGTCCATTATATGCATGTATAGAAACGTTACAGTCAACACCATTGATTTTTTAAAAATTAATGTTGAGTTAATTATAATAATAAAAAATTGACATCTGACTTCAAAAGAAACCAAGGAAGCCACTCACCAGTAGAAAATCTGAGAATTCTACACCCCAAAAAGTATTCAAAAATGAAAGTGAAAAAAAAAAAAGAAAGGATCTTACCAGACCCACAGAGACTGGGAGAATTTGTCACCAGCCTATCTTCCCCATGGGAAATACAAAAACATATCCTCCAGACAGAAGCAAATGATCCCCGATGGAAGGCTGGCAACTCAGCAAGAATCAAAGAGCCACAAAAAAATGATTTCCTTCTAGAACTTTAAAACGTGATCATAAATTTTATAGAGAGATGTAAATAGCCAAGCATAAGTAAGACAATCTTGGACAGGAAAATCACAGCAGGAGAATTTGCTCTAACAGACATCAAGGCTTATTATAAAGCTACATAAATTAAGACAGTATAATATTGCTGCAAGGATAGATAAGTAAACCAATATAGAAGAAACAGACCACACCTATGTGGACATTTTGATTCTTGACAAAGATTACCATACAGAGTAGTAGGGAAAAGATGGTCTTTTCAACCAACGATGCTGAGACAATTAAGTATTATTATGGGCCTAAAGAAACTTGATCCCTTCTTCACATCATCCCCCAAATAATTCTGGGAAGATTATAGACCAAAAGGCAAGACAATAAAGTTTCTAGATGATATACATCAACAGGACATTCCAGTGCAGAAAATATTTTAAACAGAACACTAAAAGAGCCATAAAAGAAAAGATTGATAAGATGGACTCCATTAGAAGTAACAGCTTCTATCCAACAAGAATCACCAGCAAGAGTGAAAAGGTGGGCCATGGAGCTGGCAAAGATTTTTGCTATTCTATATAACCAAAAAGGATCCATATGCAAGACACCTAAGTAACTCCCACACATTTTTTTAGTAAAAGTCAAACAAACCAATAGAAAAGTGATCAGGAAACTTGAATAAGAACTTCACCGAAGTTATCAAAGAGCCAATAAATATATGAAGAGGTGCTCAACTTCATTAGGATTAAGGAGAATGCAAATTAAAAATATGAAGAGATATCTATGCAGCCACAGGAGTAGTGAAAATAAGTGTTTGTTAATAAGTGTCAGAGAGGATGTAGAGCAACTGAAATTTTTATACCCTGTGGTAGGAGCTTAAGTTGGTACAAATCATTTTGGAAAACTGTTACAGTATCTACTGATTCCAAAGCAATTCTATTATGTAAGTTCATATCCACCATAAATATATATATATATATATACACACAGGTACTAGGAGACATATAGGAAAATATTCATGTCTATCAATTGTAGAATGGACAAATTATGTTATATTCATATGGTAGAACACCAAAGAGCAATGAATTGAATGAAGTACAACTATGAAAAATAAAATATGACAACTATCACACACATAATGTAAAAATGGAGAGAGTCACAAACAAATGTACATTTCTTTCTTGCATCTATATAAAGTTCAAAAAACATACCTAAATCTATGTTGTTTACAGAACTGTGACCAAGGACAGCCTAACAGAGAGCACTAGTGGGCCATTTTTTCTAATTAGTGGGTTTTTTTTTTTTTTTTAGTTGTTGATGGACTTTATTGTCTTTATTTTTATATGGTGCTGAGGATCGAACCCAGTGCCTCACGCATGCTAGGCGAGCATGCTACCACTGAGCCCAAGCCCAGCCCCTAACTGGTGGTTCTTTAAAAGTGTCTTTTATTATCATATGACCCAGCAATTACACTTCTGAGTACATATACAAAAAATTGAAAGCAGAGCTGGTCTTGAAGAGATATTTGAACACCCATATTCATGGCAGCATTATTTGCAACAGCCAAAGATAGAAGCAACTCAAGTACCCTTGACAGGTGAATAAATAAGCAAAATATACAATAGACTATTATGCAGACTTAAAGAGGAAGGAATTGATTCTTGAATAGATTCTTCAAAGAAGCTATATGGCCAATTACACATAAAAGGATGTTCAACATCACTAATCACTAAGGAATGCAAGTAAAAACTATAATGTCATACCACCTCACACCAATTAGGAAGACTACTATCAAGAAGCAGAAAACTGTAAGTGTTGGCAAGGATGTGGAAAAATTGGAAGCCTCACTACAGCATGGAATAAACTTTGAGAACATTATGTTAAGTGATATGAGCCAGTCAAAAAAGAACAAGTACTATATGATTCCACTTATATAAGGCACCTAGGGTAATCAAATTCATAGACAGAATATAGAACAAGGGCAGGGAATGGGTGGAGAGGGGACTGGAAAGTCTTGCTTAACTGTCACAGAGTTTCAGTTTTGCAAGATGAAAGGAGTTCTGGAGAGGGATAGCGGTGAGAATAATGAGAATACACCTGAGACCCCTGAACTCTCTACTCAAAATGATCACAATGTCAATGTTATTTGTGTGTGTTTTTTTTGTCATGGTTAAAAAAAATAAATTTTAAAAGATATCTTAAATATGTAACCAGTGCCGGGCATAGTGGCGCACGCCTGTAATCCCAGTGGCTTGGCAGGCTAAAGCAGGAGGATTGCGAGTTCAAAGCCAGCCTCAGTAACATCGAGGGGCTAAGCAACTCAGTGAGACCCTGTCTGTAAATAAAATACAAAATAAGGCTCAGGATGTGGCTCAGTGGTTGAGTGCCCCTGACTTCAATCCCCAGTATCCAAAAAAAAAAAAAAAAAGTAAGAAGCATTTTTAGTTGCTTTTATTCGAAGAGTCAGTCAGGGTAGCCAGTCCAGTTGAGCCAGAATTAGAGGCTGCTCATGCATGTGTGATGTGATCTTTCACAGATCCTTCCAATATGGCCCTCTTACGCATCTGGAGGTTGCTAAGGGATCTGTGCTGGAGACAAACATTGCTGGTGCCCAGGGTGTGACACCACCAATCTCTGGTTGGGAGTGGTGGGACCTGGTCAAGAGCCTGTTTAGCATGGACACTGACGTGCCGTGCCACATAGTCTCCTCGGTCAAACACAGCTGGAGAAACCCAATCCAGCATTCAAACTGGCATCTCTCATTACAGAGGCCTCAGGTACCTGCCCTGTTGTTAAGGTTACAAGTGCCTTTTTATTCCCAGCCAAGGTATAATTTGGAATCCTATATACAACCAACATGTCATTACCTCGAAGAACCCTAAATCTTCCAAATCCCACCAAGGCCTCTTCTAGGCTTAAATTCTGAGCCAAAGGAATCCTTAGACTGTGGTGCTTCTAATCGCTGAAAAGTGACTTTGTGACATTCTCATAATTTATAGTTTTATGTAGCCTCTCCTTTCAGTTATATAGGGATTTAACTGTCACTTATATCCTCGCTTACTGATAGAAATGGCCTTGCCATAGATACTGGGGCATGTAGGGTGGGAGTGGCATTCCAAGTGCTTATGTGCTGTCCCCAGTCCGGGTTCTTCAGTAGTACAAGCATCCAGAGGCTGAATTCGCACAGTCCAGTTCTGAGTGGACCTCCATACCCTAAGAATACCATGACTATGAATGACAAATAATTTATTATAAAGTTTTTGTTGAATTATAAGAGCGGCATATCTGTGTCTCTCTACTTAAAAGCACACAACCATAGGAAGATACATTTGCTGATTAGAAAGTCAACATCTTAGTCTGCTGGGTTGTCATAATGAAGTATTATAGGCTGGGTAGCTTAAGCCACAGAAAGTCGTATCTCTCACTTCTGGAGGTGGGAGCCTGAGACAGAGGCGTCGATAGGGTTGATTTCCTGAGGCCAACAAGAACCCAACAAGAACAACTTAAAGGAGAAAAAGTTTATTTTGGATTACATGGATCACATGGTCGGCCAACTCCATAGCTCCGGGTCCAAGGTGAGACAGAACATCATGGCGGAAAGGTATGGTGAAGGAAGGTTGCTCAGGACAGAGCAGCCAGGCAAAGCTTGCAGTCGGCTCTCTTCTTCCTAAGTTTTCTCATGGTCTTCACTATGGACATTTGTGTCCAAATTTCCTTCTTTTATAAGGACACCAGTCATATTGGGCTACAGCTTATCCCATGATCTCATTTTAACTCAATTACCTCTTTACATACTCTATCTCCAAATGCAGTCATGTCCTGAGGTACTGGGGGCACATAATTCAGCCCCTAATAACATCGAAAATCAAATCCTGAAATACATCTTGCCTCATCATAAAGCTTAGAGTTTCTCGTATAATTCTTCAATGAATCTTTATTTTCAAGGGAAGCCATTTGATTTTTCATGCCCTCTTTTCCTTGGTTGATTAAAGATTATCTTCAAGGCAACAATGTTGAAGTAATGAGTGCAATTGATGTGAGCAGCATATGAAAGCACAGAGCGCACCTGCCGTGGTTAAGTAAGCGTGTTGTAAATCTTGCCTTCTCAGGCGTGGTTTCTGGAACTGAAGGGGCGCACCACCTGTCCATTTACCACCTTGGAAATTGTTGATTGCAAGATGGATCTCTGGTCTCTAGGGCGGCTGGGGAGGGCTCTGCAGTTGAGCTGTTTGCATTCCCTTGTCCTCGATTACTGCAGGTAAGGCTGGAATGTGGAGTTCCTCAGGTAGCAGGGGAGACAGCAGCCAGGGGTGGCCACATCCGGGTTCCTGTGCCTCAGCGAGGCATGGCTGAAAAAGGACCCTCCAAAACCTCCTGAGAGTTGATGTGCCTGAGTATGTCAGGGTTCTCAAAAGAGTCTCTTCCACTCATTTGCTCTTTGAACAAATATCTGTGGAAGGCCAATTTATAGAAGACACTGTGCCCACTGCTGGGACAATACATATGTATATGAGGCAATGCTGCTGTCCAAGCAAGTTTTCGGTACAGTGGGAAAAGACATGCTCTTGACTCGGTGTAATGCACCATGGAAAGTCGTGTCTGGATACATGTTTTGTGGTACTTCAGATGAGGGAAACCATAGTTCCTGAGGTGATGGGTTAGTGGTCACCAGAAGAGGAGCAGGGGAGAAAGGTGAGGTGTTAGGGAGGATCAGAGCACGTCCTTCATAGAGCTGGGGTGCCAACAGGGAGGGTCTGGGGGTGAGGAGAATAATAATAATAATAATAATAATAATAATAATAATGCCAGTAGATGGTTATTGAGTGCTTACTGTGTGCCAAGCATCTTCAGGGATTAGCTCATTTATTCTCCCAATGACCTATGGGATTTCCAGTCCTAGATTAGAGATGAGGGAAGACTTGTTCAAGGTCATCCAGAGGTTAGGGATGGAGCCTTGATGTGAATCCAAATTGCCTGACCTCAACAGAAATTGCAGGTTAGCAGCTTCTGGGTAAAGAATTTTCCTTCGCGAGCTGTGAGTGCCCACTCTGATCCATGACACTGGATTTCCTGGGCTCCATTATTGACCATTCACAGACAATTTCAGACTGTTTGTATGGAAACTTTCTGATTTCGTTGAGATGATTTCCACTTTAAAAGTTGAGGAGTCTGTGACTCTTCCCATGTAGCCAGATGGGGTCTTGTACCCAAAAGACCAGTGGGCCATGAGGTGAGAGGAATGATTCCTGCTTGAGAAATGATGTCACAGAGACACAAAGTCCCTTAAAGAGAGAGGGTCCTGTCAGGACCGTGGTGATACTGAACAAGTCCATCAACAAAAACTAGGCAGAATGGGCTGGGGTTGTAGCTCAGTGATAGAGCACTTGCCTAGCATGTGTGAGGCACTGGTTTCGATTCTCAGCACCACACAAAAATAATAAATAAATTAAATAAAGGTATTGTGCCCATCTACAACTAAACAAATAAAAATAAATTAAAAATTTAAAAACTAGGCAGAAGGACTCCCAGCCCAGGGCAGCAGAAAGCCCAGGGTCCTCAGTACACCCTGCAGCAAATGCGGGATCGGCTTGGGCATCCCCCTGATTTCTCACGCTCTACTGGGAAGAATCAACCCCACTGCTAAGAGACCCTGCTAAGCCCCAGGTCCTGGGAGGGACCCTATGCCGTGGAAAGAGAGAAGAAAAAAGAAATTCCCATCTTCAGGAATCAGCTTGCCTTAACTGTCAGTTAACATAATTGCTGATGCCAAAGCATAGAAATCTAGAGTTATCAGGGTTGGGTAGATGGAAAGCGCCACCTGAGACCTCAACAGAAATTGCAGGTTAGCAGCTTCTGGGTGAAGAATTTTCCCTTGCGAGCTGTGAGTGCACCAGGGAAGATGCCCTACGTTCTCCTGCATGACTGCACCCCTATCCAGCTGGGATACTGGCATAGTATGGAGGTCAGAGGCCCTCCATAATTACTTGTTAATTAGCTAATACACTTAAAAAGTTATTTCTGATAATATTACCCACCTCATTCTAAAATTCAAGCCTTGACATTGCCAAATCCTTGATGATCTCACTTTACCTCATTGAACCTCAGTTTCCTGACCCATTCATGGTACCAATCCCTACCCAAGCAGGGTGTGGAAGATGCTTGTGATTTCACTCTGCAAACTAAAGACTGTAAGGTCCAAGGTGAGAGAGCACAGAGAATGAGAAGTTGAACTTTCCTGAACATGCTCAGGACATACCTATAAGGCCCCTCCTTATAGGGTCTTGGTGCTGCTGGGGTCTTCTCAGCCTCCTCCCATCCTGCCAGCGGGGCCACCTCACCCATGTCTACAGTGCCAACCTCAAGACTCAGAGCTTGTTCTCCCTCTGTTTGCTAGAATGGGCTCGTCAAACCATCCTCTGCTCCCTTTGCCCAAGAGTCAGCCTTCTGGTCCCCTTCGGTCTACACCTGGGCTGACGTCCCCCCCAACACACTGCCAGCCCTGGCTCTGGAAACCCAAGCCAGGGCTTAGAAGAAATGCCCCTCCCTGCCCTGGGGAAGGCTTTATGATTAGTAATGCAGCCAGCTACAGAGGTTTAAAAATCGATAACTTGTTCCTGTCATTTCCTGTAGATTTGGAAGTGAAGAAATTGAGAGTATTTTCTCAGGCCTGGAGAAGCACCAAAGGCTTCGCAGCCTCAGTCTGCGTTACTGTGGGCTGGAGCCCCTGAGTGGGCAGCGGCTGGGCTCCCTCCTCAGCCAGAGTGCCATATGGTGAGACGTGGCCCCTCCTCCCCCCGCTCGTCTTGGCAACGTTTTCTCTTCAGCCACACAACCCATCGTGACAGTTATTTTTGATTGGTTTTTCCTAATATAAGAGAAAGATCCATTAGCTAAGTCTGGGGATCAAAGATGTCATGCTGAATGCATGGGTTTGGCCAGCTGACACAGTCACTAGATCTATTTATGACATGGCCTATTTTTTTTTATTTACTATGATCTATTGATTGATTATTTTATGGCTAGGCATATTACTTTATCAGCTGAAGATCTTTTTTCTATATTTTACGGGTGCATTAAAATGATACGTAATATATAGTATGTAATAAATAGATAATAAATAAATACATGCATGCAATATAACAATGTAACTTGGTCAATATCACTCCCCAGTACCTTTTCTTTCCCTCCCTTCCTCCATCCTTCTAATCCCCTTCCTCTACTTTTCTGGTCTCTCTTTGATTTTCATGAGATCCCCTCACCACTTTTTTTCCTTTTCCCTTTCTAGCTTCCGCATAGGAGAGAAAACACATCACCCTTGACCTTCTGAGTCTGGCTTATTTTGCATGACATAATGATCTCCAGTTCCATCCATTTTCCTGCAAATGATATAATTTCATTCTTCTTTATGGCTGGCTAAAACTCCATTGTATACATATACCACATTTTCTTTATCCATTAAACTATTGAGAGCTACCTAGGCAGGTTCCATCATTTGGCTATTGTGGGTCATGCTGCTATGAACATGGGTATGCAGGTATCAGATGAAGACCTTAAGCCCTGATTTGAGGAAATGGAACTAACACTGATGAACAATTATTTCTCTCTCTTCTCTAGTGAACTGTACCTTGACGGTAACTACTTGCAATGTTCTGGAGCCCTGGCTCTCCTCAGACCTATGGCAGAGTATGCAGAGATGCAGAGGAGAGACCAGCCAGTCATGGCCTTACCAGACACCGGAAATCCCCCTCAGCTGCTCCAGAGTAAGCACTGGGAAACTTGGCTCTATGTTCCTTTGGGGGCCACCTGGAAGGAGGAAACTGCTTTGTGATTAAAAGTGACCTTCTTACTAGTCAATGGAGATTCTTCTTTAGATGTACAGGAGGCAGAATAATGCCCCCCCCCCAAATGTCTTTGTCCTAATCTTCAGAACCTGTAAATGTTACCTCTTATGGTAAAAGAGACTCTACAGATGTGATTAAGTTCTGGATTTTTTGAGTTGTGGAGATTAGCCTCAACACATGGGTGGGGACAGTGTAATCCCTAGGATCTTTATAAAAGGCAGCAGGAGGGTCAGAGTCAGAGAAACTGTGACAACAGAAGCAAAAATTGCAGTAAGGCCAGCAGCAAGGGAATGTGGGGGTGTCCAGACAAGGAAACTAATTTTCCACAGAGTCTCCAAAGGAATATAGCTCTGCTGACACTCACCATTTTGGACCTATAAGATCTATTTCTGCTTCTGACCTCCAGAATATAAGATTAACTACACTGGTATTATTTTAAGCCACTTAATTTATTTTCACTTGTTACAGCAGCAACAGGAAACTAATACAGTATGTTCATCAGATTCTCCGGGTTAAAATTGAAAGCAACACAACAGGATTAAAGAGCAATATGGGTTTATTGACTCACATAACTGGGATGTCCATGGGCGCAACTCCCTTCAGAGACTGCTGAATGAGTGGAGGGGCTCAAACCATGTCATCAGGAGCCCTCAAGTTTGTTACCCCTGACACTGGTTTCCCTTGGAGGGTTGGCCTCCTCTCCCAGGCTTTCTCCAAGCAGAAAGGACAGTTTATATACCTGCCAACAGCCCCAGGTTTACATCATTGTGATTTGTAATCAAGCAGAAGGCACAAGCCTCTTGCTTCCAATAAGAAGGGATTTAGGTCACATACTTACCTGTTGGCTCAATCTCTGTGTAGGGGTAGTGAGCTATTGGCCAGAACTGATGAATCACACACTCAAACACTCATCACATGCAGAGGACCGAGCTCTGTGCCCAGCGGCCCTGCCAGCATCTCATAAAGAGGGAATAACCATCCTGAGGCATATGGGGAAGACAGATGCTGGACAAACAGGAACAATAGCTGTCTATTTCCCTCAAAATGGCTTCTCATCTGTTTTAATAGATTCTAAGGATGCATATTCATGACACATTTTAAAGCTGACGACTTTTTAATAACTGGTCACAGCAAACTGTGGCAAATGGTTAAGAGCACAGACAGAGGCCTGGGTTCAAATCTCTTTGTGTCTTTGAGCGTGTCTTCCAGAATCAATCTAACTTCAGCCATTTCAGCTACAAAATGAACACAATGATAATTAGCCCATAATGGTCCGTGAGAATTATGTGATTTAATGAGCAGTACTTACTTAGTACGATGCCTTGCTCAGAGTAAGTCCTTGAGAGACATTAATTATCATCACCACCATAGCAACAACGACCCCTTCCCAGGAGAGCAGAATCTTCAATAATATTGGTAAATACGATTGCTCTATTTGCTGGGGGGAAAAAATGAAGATAAAGAGCTTGATGTAAAGGCCACTTCATGGAGGTGAAAACAAATAACTTGTAACAAATTCATATACATAATGGTTGTTGCCTGTTTCGGGACCTTCATCAGAATTACATAGGTCATCTGTTGAATTTGATAATTCAGTTAGCCCTATAACTATGCAAAAGGAAACTGGAAAAGAATGTTTAATATCAAGCATACTTTCCCTGTGCTATTTTTTTAAGCCATGATCCTATGTATGAAGTCCTGCATGATAGCTTTGGAATCAAATAACAAGTGGATCTGTTGTTGTTGTTGTTTGTTTGTTTTTTAATAGTTGGAAATGTAAAAGTGGTGTCTCAAGGGGTTAGCATGTGGCAGGTGAGGACAGGTGTGGGAGTCATGAGAGGTAAAGGAGGGGCCAAGGATGCAGGGAATAAACATGAAGATCCCCCTTTCCAGATGTCCCAAGTGTTTTCTGCTAAAAGGGACAGTGACACTTAATATGGAGAGTTCTGGATTTGTTTTTTAAGGGTTGGAGTTGAGGACAGAGAGTGTCTGCCCTGTCATTCCCCACAGGTGCCCAGGTGGGTGGGAACTTCGCTGGGGCTGGGCCCTGCCATCACGGGTCAAGAGACAGAAGCTCTTTTAAGTTTTCATAGGGTCTCAGAAATAACGACAACACCCACCACAAATTCAGGTACATTTCTAGGTTCTTCTCTTTCCCTAAGGCTGTGACACTAAAATCCACTGGAACCTTCATTCATTTATTTATTTCATTTTTTAAAATTTCAATTTGTTATATGTGACAGCAGAATGCTTTACAGTTCATGTTACACATATAGGGCACAGTTTTTCATATTTTTTATTGTTCCTGGGAACCTTCATTTTTATCCCATTTCAGCTGGTACATTTAGCTATTCTGAATTCCCCTGGATAATTGTATCTGTGTTCCCAGGCTGCCATAACAAAATGCTGCAGGCTGGGGGGCTTACACAACCAAAATTTTATTTTCTCACAGTTCTGGAGGTTGGAAGTCCAAGATTAAGGTGCCAGCCAATTCTGTTCCCAGTGAGGGTTGTTTTCACGGCATGCAAAGGGCCACCTTCTCACCATCTCCTCCTGTGACCTTCCTCGGGACATCAGGTGGAGAGAGGGAATGAGCTCTCTGGCCTCTCTTCTTACAAGGACACTGAATCTATCAGATCAGGGCCTCGCTTTCCTGACCCTATTTAACCTGAATTCCTTCCTTAGATTCCCCGTCTCCAAATACAGCCACATTAGGGGTCAGGGCTTCAACATATGAATCTGGGGCAGACAACAACATTCAGTCTATAACAGTAACGTGCACACCAGCACAGAGGGAAAGAACCTGTGTTTCAGAGCTGGGATCATAGACCTCAGCTCAAGCAAAATTATTTTTCCCATCCTGATTTAATATGCCAGCAGGATTAGCCTTAAATAATAGTTAGAATAAGAGGCACGTGAGGCAAGAAAGTTCAATGACCGTGGATCACCAACAGCCCCCGCCCATCTCATTTTCTTTTTCCATTTTAACTACAATATACTTTATAAATCCTGATGTCTTATAGTACGTCGATCTGTCAAAGGGAAAGCAATTGCACAGATTGTTCTCCAACAATCCAGGGTCATCTCCAACCTCCCCCACTAACCAGGATCCTGATTTTGCCTTGGTGAGGGGTCAGTAGAGGTGCTGGCCCTCACCTGGCCATGGGTGGGTATGGAACCCACCTGGACTTTGCCACCCTAAAATAGGATTCTTGAGCAGAGGAACCTGGTGTCTTACCCCAACTACCTGTCATTTCATGATCCTGCCAGATCCTTGTTGCTATCCTGGCCGCTGTCCTTAGATAGCCTTGCTCTTAGAGCACAGTACATGAAAATTTTCCCAGGATATGTTGGAAAGGGTGTGAGTGTTTGTTTGTTTGTTTGTTTAATAATTGTAGCCTAGAAATTTAATTTTCATTTTATTAATTATTTTTTGTTGGGTACTGGGAACTGAACCCAGGGGAACTCTACCCCTGAGCTACATCCTCAGCCCTTTTTATTTTAGATTTCAAGACAGGGTCTCACTAAGTTGTTGAGGCTGGTCAAACTTGTGATCCTCCTGCCTCAGCATCCTAAGTTGCTGGAATTATATGCCTGTACCACCATGCCCAGCTAGATTTTTTTTTTTTTAAGAAATGCCCAGGTCTCAACTTCCATGAGAATCATGTACCTGTTGTTAAAATATCCTTGGTCATAAGCATAAGCATCTCATTCTCCTACTTTGCAAAAGAAAGGAAAACCTCTCTTCCAATCAGTATCTTAGTAGAATGTTTTGCTCTGGAATACAGAAGCAGAGAGACAATTCATAATATTATGAAAATATTACAGAAGTTACTGACTCCAATAACTCAGGGACAACCTGTTTTTACACATCAAGTGGTTTCCAACTTTTGCTTTTAATGAAGGAGGACCTAGTCAAGTTATCAGCTGACATGTTATTTAAAAAATATTTTTTTTTTTTGCGAGGCACAGTGGCACATGCCTGTAATCCCAGTGGCTTGGGAGGCTGAGGCAGGAGGATCTCGAACTCAAAGCCAGACTCAGCAATTTAGCGAGGCTCTGAGCAACTCAGTGAGACCCCGTCTCTAAATAAAATACAAAAAGGTCTAAGATGTGGCTCAGTAGTTAAGGACTCCTGGGTTCAATCCCTGGTACAAAAAAAAAATCATTTTTGTATGTGATAGATTACTAGGCAATTTTTAGTATATAATTCAAGTATTCAAAGAATTGAATAAAACTGGTAAGGTAAAACTTTTTCTAGAATTACACAGATGAAAAACAAGTTATTATAAGTATACCCCATACAATGTTTGGGATATACATGCCCTAAAATAATTATTCTTTATTCATCTGACAATTAAAGTTTCCGGGTGTCCTGTAATGGAATGAGAGTATGGGGACAGATGGAAGGAGTTTAGGGCAAGAGAGGCTAAGCCTGGAATCCTACTCCATCCTCATCTTGTGCAAATAAGGCTTGTTAGCATGTAAAACTCTAGCAACAACCACAGAAAACAACAGAACAATACTGAACTCTGCATCACTCTAGAATATTCTCCAATGGATATGTGAATTAATACAAAAAAAAAAAACAAAAAAAAAAGCATTATTTGTTTCACTGAAAAATGCAGTCGATAAAATTTTTATTTCTGTACTTATTAAGGTTTATCAAAATGTGTAAAATACACATGCTGTATTATATGTGTAGTTCTAAAAGTTGATTAATAACTGCAGAAGAAATTTTTAATACTTTACATCATATTTATTGCTTTATAGACATATGAGGATATTATCCCAAGAAATTTTTAAAATTTAAATATTTATACACGTAGCATTTTTATTACAGAGGAATTTTACAAGATGACCTACAAATGGCTTTCAAATACAAACTAAGCAGAATGAAATTAAAAATAACAGCACAAGAAAAAAAGGGAATAATATAAAACTTTCAACAACTGAAGAAGAGTTTGCTTGTGTTTCATGTTGTTTCTGATGTTTTACTGAATTATAGTTGGTGTCAAATTGCTTGGAGTTGAGATTCCATTTGACTGATGTAAGAGAATAATGATACAACAGATTTTATTTTTAAAATGTCAACATTTGCCATAAGCTAAAAATTTTTTGAAATTTTAAAACTTATGAAAAATTTAAATATCAACCTAAAATTGTACAAGATATTCCTTGAGGATGTTATGAGAGAACTTTTTTTTTTCCTGTGCTGAGAATGGAACCCAGCTCCTCATACAGACTACACAAGGGCCTTACCACTGAACTGCACCCCTAGCCCAGCAAAAATGTATTGAGATCACTGCTTAGTAAGACCCAAATGTTTGGTTCTCTCCTCTCTGTATGAGCTACTCCCAGGCCTCCCAGAAACTTCTTTTTGCTAGAGTCAGGTACTATGACTTTCTATTGCCAACAACCAGGGGGGCCCAAATAACTCACAAATAGCTAATGACAAATTTGTTTTCTTGGTTACTTGTTGCAACATAGGAATGCAATCTTAATAATGATGTACCTTCCTCTGCTCATTGTTTGTTCTAACATCCATCAAATATTCCCCCATGTGCTTAGGTTATGTTGGTGCACAAAACAAAGATCTCTCCCCTGAAGGAGGGGGCTGGAACACAGCATGCATGGGTGTGTGCATGCATGCGGAGGGTGGTCAGGCAATTTTCAAAAGGTGCAATAAATATACATATGCTACAGTTTGGTAGAAGGTGATAATTGATATGAAAAAAGAAAAAGAGCAAGGTGTGGGAGTATGGGAGTCTGGGGAAGGAAGACAGATGGCCTGTGATTTTTAAGTAGTCGGTTCAGAGTGGCCTCCTTGAAGAGGTAGCATCTGGGAACAGGCACAGTAGTGATGGAGGAGCCCCACAGAAGGGTGCAGATGAGCAGGCCAGGCTGAGGGAACAGCCTGAACCAAGGCCTAAGACCTTTGCATGTAAGAGCAGCGGGTGCTAATACATTATTCAGGGACCAGTGAGGAAAGTACCCTGTAACTGGGAAGGAGCTGAGGAGGGGAGGCTGCGGGGTCAGGAGCGGGAGACAGGAGACCTGCTGGGGGCTTGTCCTACAGGCAAGAGAGGCATCTGCACAAGTGATTCTGGGGTTGGTGAGAAGGGATCAGACTCTGCATTGTACGGTGGGGTGCAAGAGAAAGGCAAAAAAGAGTCCAAACTGAATCCAGAGAGATAATATTTTAATACATTTTGGTGGGGCCGGGGGTACCAGGGATTGAACTCAGGGGCACTTGACCACTGAGCCACATCCCCAGCCCTATTTTGTATTTTATTTAGAGACAGTGTTCACTGAGTTGCTTAGAGCCTTGCTTTTGCTGAGGCTGGCTTTGAACTCGCAATCCTCCTGCTTCAGCCTCTGGAGCTGCTGGGATTACAGGCATGTGCCACCACACCCGGCAATACATTTTTTTAAACAACAACAACAACAAAATGTTCCTCCCTGCTGTGTTCTTACTGACTCCAGGAATGTGGAGTCACTTGAGGGAGCTGTGGAATGTAAGGGAGATTAACTGGAGGCCTGGTGGGCTAGTTCTTGGGCCTGACTTGGTTGCCTGTTCACCTCGAGGCTTCAGGGAGGGGAATGAAAAGTGACAGGATGGACAGGGTCTTGGCGGCAGTTTGGCTGATGCCTGTGAGAAACACCTCCCTCCAAAGAGCACATAAAATGAAGTATCTAGTGCATCATTCAAATCGGAACAGGCTACATTTTTTTTTTAATCTTTTTTGTTTTTCAACCAGCTGGCCAGGGAGCAAGATCAACTTTGAGCCAAACTGCAAAATCGTCTGAAGCCATCGCAGTGAAAACCACTTCAGAGAAGAAAAAGAGAAGAAGAGGTATTTGTGTTATTGCTGTTTGGACAATTCCTTCCCGTTCCTTCTCCTTCCTTATAACTCACTTCCCGTCTCCTAGGCTGTGTGTTCCCACTACCGCCCCAAACAGAGAGAAAAATCCAAGTGGAGGAAAGACTCAAGGTCTTGTGATCCCCATATAAACCAAACAGGAAGGGCTTCACCTTGTCCACCCGAGGAGTTAATCTTTGGCACATTGAATGTTCCAAAAAAGGAATTATGGGGCCTAGGCTGGTTTGGGAACAGCTTTGTGAGAACAGCCAGCAGGACCTCATAAATCTAGCTCGGAGCCTTCTCCAACTACAATTTTACTTAGAACCAGAAACTGAGTGGTTTTGAAGGAATTTTAAGAAGTCGCCAACTTCATAGGGACCAGGGTCCTATTCCTGACATCCACACCAGCGCCTGGCTCTCAGCAATGTGAGGGCTTTGCGCTCCCCAGTTTCCAGTGTTGTGTTAACAGAGAGAAATTCCAAAGAGCCTGCACAAGACAATCCTGGGTGTGTCACCTACAGTAGTCTTTGGGAAACTCTGCTCAGAGGCCAGCTTGAATCTGTGTTGTTCTGTTTTAGACCACTTCATGAGTTTTTGGTACCATTTGTTTGCAGGGAAGGGCGACTGGTTTGGGCCACTGAGCTGTATCCCTAGCCTTCCCTAGTTTCAAAATAAATTGTCCAGGCTGACCTCAAACTTGCAATCCTCCTATCTGAGCTTCCCAAGCAGCTGGGACTTTAGGAGTCCAAAACAGGCCCAGCTCTCTTCTTTGATCATAATCTGTTCTGTGTGGCTTTTTTTTTTTTATTCTATTCTCGTATTATTTGTCTTGCATCTTCTCTGTGAAATATTGCCGAATTCAAAAATTATGAATTCTTATAAGATGTAAAGTGATAGAATTTATCAGACCTTCTCTCTGTCATCTGATGTAAATATAGTCTTTCCACAGGGTAGAGCTAGTAGAGTTTGGAAATTTATAGGAGAGTCTACTCCAGGGATGGAGCTGGGAAGACTTTGGAAACATGCTGGCCTGGTGTGGAAAGCAAGAAAGGACTGAGTTGAGGAAAGACTTGAGCAAGCCATGAGCCCCAAGTTCAGCTAAAACAAGAGGCTGTGGAGTTTGGGCCTCACAAGGAGGAAGGGTCACACTGAGGAGGACCCTGCAAGAAATCCTTTGCCTGAACCCAAGAGAAACAACTTGGATATGTATTTATTTTACATTTCCAGAGTTCACCGAGGAAATTGAAAAACATCTTCCCACATTGGGCCGTTGCTTGTAGAGTCATATGGTGTTTGTTTGAGGGGAGAGTTTGGCCTTTGGTAGAACAGTCCTACTTGTTTCAAAATGAAGGGTCAGATGGAGCTGATTTACATCCTCCTCCTGGGTGAGGAGGCCAGATGGTTTCCATTTGGCCCTAATTGAAAACAGCCACGCTATTTTCCTGCACATCTCTTTTTGGACAGGAGGCTTTTGGCCTTCTGCTTGGAAAGTTGTCCCCATCGAACAAGATGAGTCCAAACCCCATTCAGAAGCTTGACCCCCCCGCCCCCATTCCTTCCCTCACTTGGAGTCACAAGAACCTTGACAGTGATAATTACAAGGACTCACAACTTGACGTTGGGCAGCCATTTACAAGTTGATAGAAGAAGCACAATATTCCATTTCTGTGCTTGCAAACTTGAGGCATATTCATCCCAGTCCAGTCCTGTCCTTCAACACCCGTGACCAGAAAGACTCATAGACCTAACCAGCGTCTCTGGCCATAGTCACTCCTCATCTCCAAACCCTATAAAAAAGAAAAAGAAAAAAAATAGAATTATTAGATTAGTGCTTTTCTCAACTTGAATGCCTCCACAGGCACTTGGAGGACTTGCCAAAACACAGATTGCTAATAAATTTTTTTAAAATAATAAAACCAAAATTAAAAAAAAAAGACAAGATTGTTGGGGACACCACCCCCTCAAGGTTCTGGACCTGGAGACTCTGCATTTCTATGCGGCTGATGCTACTGGTCCAGGGACCACATTTTGGGAACCACTGCTTTTGGACTTAAAAAAAACATTAGATTGCATGCTCTTGATTTATTTTGCTCATTGAAGAAAACCAGAGAACAGAGTGAGACTCCTGGCAGCCTCTTTTCTGCCCTGGAGCCATGGAATCAACAGGCCCGTGCCCATTTCTGTTCTGGTGGTGTCTGCCTTGTCAGTTAGGCCCTCCTTGGATCCCATGGCTCTCTGTACCATGGGGATTCAGGAGCTGGGAACTCTGGGTCTGAAGGCTGGTCAGCCCTCAAATGGGAGAGTCCACCTTGGCCTACATCCCACAGACCTGTGAGGTCCATGCAGAGGTAGAAGATGGCCAAAGGCTGGAAGTCCCTGAAAGGTGGTCAGGAATAGCCATCTGTGGATGACATGGTTCCCTCATCCCCATTCAGGCAGTCCTCAAAGTTCCTGAAAGACCTGACAAGGACCAAGTTGTACCTTGTCACCTGGATGTGTTGTCTTCTAGCCGAAGCCCCACATGTAGTCTCCAGGAGGATTTAGGATGAAACAAACCAATAAGTGACTTAGACATGTACAGGGGTCAAAATTCAACCATAACATGATCTTTCCATGAGCTTGAGATCGATCAGAACTTCACTACCGTACCATGCTGCCCAAGCACCAAACCCACCTGCCCAGGTGAGACATTGTTGCTTATATCATAGTCCCAGTCCACAGAAATACCAGTGGCATTATGGAACAGAAGGACCAAATTCTAAAGTAAAGACGTAATCTTCAAAACATCTTTATTAGCTCCAAAACAGGAAGGTACCATTTATAATCCTGAAATTATTTTATTGGAGATTTTATCCTGGGGTGACGGCTAAACAATAAAAACCTGTACAGATGGGTTCTAAGATCCAGGGTGTGAATCATCCCATGCTAATTGCACCTTGATTTCTGAAGCCCTGTAATCAAGCGGATGAAGTTTATGTTCTGGTTTGTAAAACTGGGAATTATACAGGAAATTACACGTGTTCTTTGTCAATGGAAAGAAGTTATTTTTAACAATTTTTTTTCACTTTTTTTATTGGTTGTTCAAAACATTACAAAGTTCTTGACATATCATATTTCATACATTAGATTCAAGTGGGTTATGAACTCCCATTTTTACCCCAAATACAGATTGTAGAATCACATCGGTTACACATCCACATTTTTACATAATGCCATATTAGTAACTGTTGTATTCTGCTACCTTTCCTATCCTCTACTATCTAATATTTTTTTTTTAATTTCACCACAAAGAGAAAGTCCTGTCAGGGCCTAGCACCCACAGGGTGGTGAATAGTATTGAGCAGACTGATCTGATGCCATCAGAATGTGTAATGCCCACCTGATCTGGGGGCTCCAGAATAGATTAGAGGGTGAGGGAGATGAGGGAGTCTCCCAGGAGAAATGCTGGATCCATGAAAACTTGCACTTGGCCTTTGGGTACTGGCCCACCTCAGCTCTCCAGGAAGGAAGACGTTTACCAGGGGCAGGAGAGGGTGTTCTAAGCAGAAAAGCCACATGAGGAAAGGCTCAGAGAATGGAGGTGTCTGGAGGGTGGGACATCCTGCGGTCACTGCTGGAGGTCATGGGGAGTAGCTGGGGCTGTGGTGCCTTTGACTTCCCCGTGGGAAAGCAATCCACACCTGCCCTATCACAGGCCCAGAAGCTCACCTCCTCTCCAAGGGTGCACATTTGTGCCACGCTGGCTGCGAGGGGTACAGCCCTGGCTGAGAACGTTTCTCTCCTTGCAAAGTTCAGCTGTGTAAGAACTCAGCTTCCAGCCTTCAGCCTGGGACCACCGGCTCACCTTGCACCCATCCTGCCTTCTGGCAGGCTGGGAGGGAGTGAGGAGAAATGAGGGCCACATGTGGTCGGTGTTCACGTCGTTAATCATTCCGAGCAGTAGACCGAACTTTACAAAGGCATTTATGTTTGTGAAAAGATTTTAAAAATAGAAAAATAGGGGCTGGGGATGTGGCTCAAGTGGTCGCGCGCTCGCCTGGCATGCGTGCGGCCGGGTTCGATCCTCAGCACCACATACAAAAGTAGATGTTGTGTCCGCCGAAAACTGAAAAATAATTATTAAAATTCTCTCTCTCTCCCTCTATCTCTCTCCCTCTCTCTTTAAAAAAAAAAATAGAAAAATACCATAATCCATTTGTGTTCACAAAGCGGAATCGAAGCATGATTAATGACATTGTACTTGAAAAAAACAATGAACACAAAACTTTCCACAATACAACTGCACTCTATGCTCCATTTGTTATTCATTCATTCACTCCACAAACATTTATTAAGTGTGTACCGTGTGCCAGACATTGTCCCAGTGTGTCAACACTGCTCCATTATTCATGAAAGCTGTCGTTTGTTATCGTCCCCACGCCCTGGATATAAGGACAAATAAAGATTTAGACAAGTTAGGCTTATCCCCAATAAAACTAAAGGACAGGCCAGGTGTCATCTCTCCAAGTGTGTCCTGAAGGGAAATAAATCCATTTCATTCAATGATCCAACACATTAGAGTCATATCCCAAGAAACCAATCAAACCCCCCCCCCATTTTTTTAAAGCCTATTTTCTACTTTTTGTTTTTTCTGAGCTGGCGCACTAGGGTGACCTAATGTCCAAATTCACCACCTTTCCCTAAAATGTCAGTTTTCGTCCAGGGATTGAAGACTTAACACTTGATCACCATGACTCTCCACATATGCTGGCTAACCTTCACCTGACGTCAGCTCCGTGAGGGCTAAAGGGCTGGCGTATTGTCCCTTTGGTTTCCTGTTGGGTCCCCAACACCTAGAGGACAGCTTGGCCCATAATAGGAAATCAACAATATTTGTCGACTGCCAAATGCATCCCAGTCAATAGAGACCTGCTAACCTGGAGGGAAGCTCTCAGCGAGCATGTGGGCAAATCAGTGTGTACACAAAGGATCCTTTAAGATCCCTTAGTTGCCTGTACAGCATGATATATTTAGATGTATTCTAAGTCCCACGCTGTTTCTTCCCTGGTTTTGGACCAGATTCCTTGCTCCTGAGTTGAGTCCCGGATGAAGTAGTTAGCTTGTGTCTAGGAGGTGCATATAACTGTAAATACCTGGGGACCCCCAGAAAGCTGTCTGGCTTTGGGATTGGTGGTTCAGATTTCCTGTCTCACTGAGTGGACAAGCTGGTAGTATGCTCACCGCTATTTCTCCTTCTTCATCAATGTTTTTTTCTTTACCAAACTCCTAACCTTGAACTGGTGTGAATTACATGTGTGTATCATGCCAACCCACAGCACCCACAACACCTACAGTGAGCCTTTTAAAAGCCATGGAGAATGAAGGTGAGCCAGCCCAGGACTCCGTTTATAAGGCCTCCCACATCCCCACAATCAGCAGACAACTCATCCTCTTCTATCAAGATTCTGCTAGGGACTTCAGTTTTTCTCTCTAGATTAATACAGAGCAATCTGCAGCTTCCCAGATTAAAGAATGAGAGAGACATAGAGTATGAAACAAGGACTTTAAAAACTACATATATAGTACTTCCTTGCTATATTGCAAAATGAATCCACTCACACAAGTCCAGCGAGTACAGATTTTTTAAAAAAATAATCAGTTTAGCTGATGATAAATGGGAACTATTGTCTAAAATAACAAATCACTCTGATTTTCTTGTAGGATTCAGGAAAAAAGTGAAAGGTTTGACGGAAGCTGGTCCTTGGCTAGTGAAGTTGTACTTGGCAGATAATGGCATAGATGGAAAAGGAGGAGGAGCGGACTTGTTGGAATTCACCCGAACTTTAACATGGTGAGTAGCAAATAGAGGTCTGGTTTGTCCACTTTCCAGAACTAAGTGTTTGTGAGTCATGGGGATGATGATTTAGTTATCTTATTATTTATTTATTTTGGTACTGGAGATTGAACTCAGGGGCACTTAACCACTGAGCCACATCCCCAGCCCCTTTTTGTATTTTATTCAGAAATGGGGCCTCACTGAGTTGCTTAAGGCCTTGCTACGGTGCTTATGGTCTTGAACTCACGAACCTCCTACCTCAGCCTCCAAAGCTTGTGCCACGGTGTCCAGTAGGAATGATGATTTAAATGCAGATTTTTTTAGCAGTTTCTTGTAAGGTCGTTCAGCTCAAGAGCGCTGTGACCTGAAAGGAAGCACAGCCTAATTGGAATTATACACTCCTTTGTGTTGTCCCAACCTCCTCGGTCCCAAAGACATAGCTATTCTCGAAAGTTTCCGGAAAACAGAGTATTTCCTTGCCATATTTGTCTTAACAAATCTTAGGCCTCTCCCTGCCCAGCTGCACAGAATCCACATCCTCCGTGGGCCAAGGCACAGTTCAGGGGTGCCACTAATCTAGGAAAACTTGCTGGGTGGAGAGGGCTCTCGAGTGCACACCCCCAGCAGTAGGTCCTTCCGGCACCTGAGGCATGGGCAAGGTCTGAAGCTGGAGGCTGGTGGATGGCAAGTTTAGAAGAAAAAGATTCCTTCTCTAATATACTTATCTCCTTATTCAAAGGAAGAAGGGGAAGATGTTTTAATGGGAGAGCTTTGCTGCTCTTTCTATAATAATTATATTAATAAATTTCCTTTTGTTGACCTTTTAATATAGTATTGAATTTAATATATTGCTGATGCATTATTTTTTGGTGTATTGCTAAAAATTGTGTGAAGGTTTTTTTTGCAACTATATTCCCAGGTATACTAACCTTGTACTTTTCCTTGTAACATCTTTGTCTGTCTGGGATCCAGATGGTTCTGGTGGCAGAGAATGAGTTAGGAAATGTCCCCTTCTATCATATTCTATGAAATACTGTGTGTAGTAATGATTGACAGTATTTCATCAGTATTAGGTAGATTGTTCAGTGAAGACCTCTGGACCTGGAGCTTTCTTTATGGGACATTTTGAACTATGAATTCAACTTTCCAGTAGCGATAGGGCTATACTGGCTTTGCTTTTTTTATTTTTATTTTTTCTGTATAAAGCTCTGATAATTGGTGCCTTTCAAGAAATTTGTTCATTTCATTCAAATTGTCAGATTTTTTGGCACAAAGTTTTTCATGACACTTCCTGATGAGCCTTTTAATGTCTGTTGGATCTATAGTGATGCTTCCTCTTTTGTTGACATTGATAATTTGTTTTTGCTTTTTCTCTGATCATTTTGGTTAGAAATTTATAATTTTATTAATCTTCTCAAAAAAACATCTTTGGTTTTCTCTACTGTTGCTCTATTTCCAATTTCATTTATTTCTTCTCCTTATTATTTCCTTTCTTCTCCTGACTGTGGGTTTCATGTTCTTCTCTTTCTAGATTACTAAGGTAAAAGCTTAAGTCTTTATTTTAAGCCTTTTTATTTTTCTAATATAAATAATTGTCTTAGCACTAAACACCGCTTTCATTGTGCCCTGCCAATTTTGATACATTGTATTTTCATACAGCATGGGATGCATTAGATTGACAGCCTTGCTCAAGTCTTCCATGCCTTACTAACTTTGTAGTTACTTGCTCTAAAAATTATTAAGAGAAGGGAATCTGTGATTATATCTCATTGAAGTTTAATCAGTTTTTGTTTTGTGTATTTTGAAGCCCTATTATAGTTACATGTCAGAGTCCATCTCCAACAGGGGTTCTCAGGAGACGAACTGATGGTGAGGAGTCAGCGAAAGGGGGTGGAGAAACAACACAGACACAAAAGTAAAGGCGCTGAATCCCAATCTTTACTTGTGAAGTTAATCATATATACTTTTCATTTTGACAGGCTCACAATACTTTGTGGTTACAAAACAGGAATTATTATTCAAAGAAACAAAATATTACGTAGCTACAATTAGATAAGAAGAATGTATCTTGGCTTATGCATAAGCAAGCATTTTTACTTTCAGTTCACGTTTTGCTTTGAGCTGTTTCTGCTTAGTTAGCTTTTAATAATAGTTAGAAATGTCCCAGATTATTGGCCTATGCCTTGACTATTCTTTCTTAACTTACTGACTAGAACCAGCACCGCAGTTATGGCAAGTGGTTAACTTGAAAAGAGAGGCTACTAATTTTAATCAAACAAGAGTAAGAGTACAAACCATTGTGCACAGGAACAAGAACAAGCGCTAATCTGTCTTCTTAACATTAATTCTTCTTCTCTAGATTTTAATTTAATGTCTCAAAAACTTCCTTGACTGTTTTTCCTACAGGGGGTTTTTCATTAAGCATTAACAATTCACGTTCCACAGCTGAATCATTGCATTTATAGCAAACAGATTTATTCTTTAGAAGTAGTTGCATTAATTGGGAAAGTCATGTTTTTTTCCTTCATATTTAATGGTCATATGAGAAGTCTCAATTATACTTATTAAGAGAATACAAAAACAAACCAGTCCATTCCCAGAGACATACTGCGCTCCTCCAGAGGATGGATGCCTGTGCCATCCACCTCAGTAGGGCCTTGCCATAGCCTGAGTCAGGGGAGGGGCGCAGCAGTTAATAAACTTTTAAGATTGTTAGTATCTTGATGAATTTACCCTCATTATCATTATGAAAGATCTTTGGTTGTTGTTGTTGTTTTGTACTGGGGATTGAACCCAAGGGCACTTAACCACTGAGCCACATCCCCATCCCTTTTCAGTTTTTGAGATAGGGCATCACTAAGTTGCTTAGGGCCTCGATAAGTTGCTGAGGCTGGTCTCCAACTTGTGATTCTCCTACCCCAGCCTCCCAATCTGCTGGGGTTACAGGCGTGCACCCCCACACTTGGTCCACATTCATTTTTTTCTGGTCTTTTGTCCCTTTGCCTTCCACCAATGGTTTCCATTGCATGTCTTGTGTTCACTAATCCATCCTCCTGCAAGTCTAACATGCCCTCAGTGCCCTCCAATGTGTTTTTTTAATAACTCTGTTACAACTATGGTTTATTTTTATTTATCTTATTTTATGTGCTGCTGAGGTTTGAACCCAGGGCCTTACACATGCTAGGCCAGTGCTCTACCACTGAGCCACAGCCCAGCCCCAATCCAATGTGACTTCATCATCTTCACTCCTGTGAGTTCCACCCAGGGACTCCCTGATCGCTCCACTTCTACCTGCAACCTGTTCACGCTCTCCCCTGCCTTCTTGGGTGTCGAGAGTACACTGATAATGAATGTGTTGATGTCTTGGATATTATCACCCATGTCATTCTGGGTATCTTATTTTATCTTTTTAGTTGTAGATGAACACAATACTTTTATTTATTTATTTTTATGTGATGCTGAGGGTCGAACCCAGTGCCTCATACCTGCTAAGCAAACACTCCACCACTGAGCCACAACCCCAGCCCCTCATGTGTCTGTATTATGTTGTTTTTAAGTCCTTTAGGTATAGACCGAGGAGAGGGATAACTGGGTCAAATGGTGGTTCCATTTCCAGTTTTCCAGGGAATCTCCAACTGCTTTCCATATTGGCTGCACCAATTTGCAGTCCCATCAGCAATGTATGAGTGTGCCTTTTTCCCCACATCCTCACCAACACTTATTGTTGTTTGTATTCTTAATAGAGATGATGAACATTTTTTCATTTACTTGTTGATTGATTGTATATCATCTTCTGAGCAGTGTTTGTTCATTTCCTTTGCCCATTTATTGATTGGGTTATTTGTTTTGTTGGTGTTAAGTTTTTTGAGTGCTTTATATATCCTAGAGATTAGTGCTCTGTCTGATGTACGTGTGGTAAAAATTTCCTCCCATTCTGTAGGTTCTCTCTTCACCTCACTGATTGTTTCTTTTACCAAGAAGCTTTTCAGTTTGAATCCATCCCATTTATTGATTCTTGATTTTATTTTTTGCACTATAGGAGTCTTGTTAAGGAAGTTGGGGCATAATCCAATATGATGAAGATCTGTGCCTACTTTTTTAAATATATTTTTTAGTTGTCAATGGATCTTTATTTATTTATATGTAGTGCTGAGAATTGACCTTGTGCCTCACACATGCCAGGCAAGTGAGCCATGTGAGCCAGTGAGCCATGACCCCAGCCCCTGGGCCTACTTTTTCCTGTACTAGAAGAAGGGTCTCTGGTCTAATTCCTAGGTCCTTGATCCACTTTGAGTTGAGTTTTATGCATGGTGAGAGACAGGGGCTTAATTTCATTTTGCTGCATATGGATTTCCAGTTCTCCCTGAACCATTTGTTGAAGAGGTGTTTATTTTCCATGATGTTAAAACTTACTTGATTTTGAAAGCTGCCTTTATTTTGAAACCATGGCCTTTCTAATTTTATGCAAAAGTACATGTTTATTTATCCTGTGGCTAGATGAGTGTTGTTATTTATTTACCGGGCCTTTTTCAATCCTTCCAACTTTTTTTACATTCTGCTGATGTATAAAATATAAATGACTGGGAAGTCCTGCACAATATCACACCTTATCTTTTGAACAAATAAATGAATGAAGGATTTAAGGCGAGTAAAATTCTTACCTTACCAACTTACCTAAGAGATGCAGAGCATGGAAACTAGAGAGATTAAACTGGGAGGAATTGTGCTCAGGATGTTGCCAGTCTCTAATTACATCAGTACTTTGGGGATGGGGCAGGGGGAATGGAGAGGACTTAAAAAAGAAAGTCCAGCCAGGTGGCTGTGAGGCTGAGGTGGGAGGATCGCAAGCTCAAAGCCAGCCTCAGCAATTTATCGAGGCCCTAAGCAATTCAATGAGATCCTATCTCTGAATAAAATGTAAAAATGGGCTGTGAGAGTGGCTCAGTGGTTAGGCGCCCCAGGGTTCAATATCCCTGGTACCATTAAAAAAAAAAAAAAAGTCTGTGCTACAGAATAACTGAGTTATTGAGTTGAGTTTCTTTGAGTTTCTTCCATGCTGTGACAACATCGTTGTGTTGAAGTGTCACCCCCTTTCTCCACAGAAAAGTCTTAACTGGGCTTCTCCAGAAATCTTCACCATGGCTGATTTTAGGGCTGTCAGCAAGAGTCTCTGCAAAAGAGTCCAATGTAGATAAACTTCCTATTTTCATGTCACCCTGTTTTATTTGGCCACTGGCCAAGAAGATACCAGCATTCCAGGTGCTGAACACCCCCTTACTAGTTTTTCACACACGTATCCAGTATAGTAGTTTGTAGAAATGTACAAACAGGCCTCTGGCCTTGAGCTGGGCTTCACAGAAATGTCTACATTTTTTAGATAAGTTACCAACTGGGCTCCATGGTAACAGCTGGCAGGGGGAGGAAAGAAAGGGGAGAAAAAGATCTCCCCTTCTCAGGTGTTGTCCTTGAAGGGTTAACTTGCCCCAAACAGTGAAAGAAAAAGCTGCTTTTATGTGAACCTCTACAGACTGTGAACTTCTGAGCCCCTCCCCTTACATGCTGGGTATAAAACTCTGAAACTCCCTGAACTCAGGGTTCAGGGGATTAATTGATTACAGCAAAAGCTGTGCCCTCTGAACCTGGCTGCAGCCAAATAAAACTGCTGCCTGCTGTCTTCGGTGCCGTGCCTCGTCTGTCCCTTCAACAGTGTTTTGTAATTTTCTCTGGACAGCCTGGTCAAGTACTCTACCCACTTGAGGGAAATTGACCTTGGAAACAATGACTTGGGAGAAACAGCTGCTGGTGACATCCTTGGAGCACTGAGAGCCAGGAAGAAAGGTAGAGTGTTTTCAATTTGTGTCTCCCCCACCTGCCAATCAGCTCATTCCTAAATTCTGTAGTATTCACAATTTGCTCCACATTTTTTTTCCCCATTTAAATAACAAGAACTATGCGATGACCAGGAGCAGTGTCACAGGCTGGCCACTGCTGTGTCAATGTGCCCAGTGGTTTGCACAGAGTTAAGAACTTTTATGATGTCATAGGTAGTCTTCCATCTAAGTAATGACACCCCCTCCTACCTCCAAGACACGGGGTCTTGGCTATGTTGCCCTTGAACTCCTGGGCTCAAGCCATCCTCCTACCTTATCGGCCCAAGTAGCTAGGACTAGAGGTCTGGCTAGTAATAAATATTTTTAAAGTGAACTTTTCTCCACTGGTTTTTCTTCCATTTGCTGTCATCCTTGCTTATTCTCCAGGAACTCTTTTCTGGTTCTCTATTCTCCTCCCAGCCCAGACTGCAATGATTTCTCCAAATAGCAACTAGAAACCTCAAGTAGTAATCCTCATGGGGTTACCGTGTGTTTCTGTGTCATCTTTCCCAAAGAATGGTTCATTGTGATTGGCCTGGGGCAAGCATTAAGAGGATGTTATGATCATGCAGCCTTTGAAAATGAGAGAATCACATGTGGCAGAGATTGGTCACTTTGGCCACCCTTGGCCACCCCTGCCCGTCCTTCATGATCAGACACCACCAGAGTTAACAATGGCTGCTCTTCCTTCTTTTAAATGCAGCACCACAAACGACACCATAAACAGATTTGAAAATGAAATTCAATACTAAGAAAAGTATCTTCTTTGGCCTGAATGCCAGGTTCATGACAAGGCAGAAGCTGAACAAGTTCTGGAGAACTCTCCTGTATATCTCCTGAAATTATCCTGTGGCAAAAATATGAGGACCCCCCCAGTGGACATCTGGAGCCTGGGTGTCATTCTGCATTTCATGGTTATAGGAGATACCCATTTATGGGAACCACTGCTAAGCAACTGAAGAAGCAGACTGTGCAGGCAAGGTACACCTTCCCCCTGCACGTCTCTGAGGGAGCACAGAGCCTCATCCATCAAATACTGACAGTGGTCTCCATACAGAGGCCCCAAGTAAAGCATATAATTGGGCACTCATGGCTGAGGCAGGGTGAGAATTATTTACCCAGTCATTCTAACAAGCTACTCTCAAAATACCTTGATCCCACAATTTGTGACAATCATGTTTGATATGAGTTGTGACTCCTATAATACCTGGGTGTCCCTGGTAAATAAAAAAATATGATGGAAAAAAAAAGGAAAATTGGGGGAACTCTTAGAGGTGCACTCCATGGCAAGAGGCATGAAGGTGCACACACATCTGGTCTTTGCTATTTCTTCCTAGAATGGCCTTAGAGCCCGGCATGATTGTAGACTGCATTTTTCTTTCAATGCTGGTAGTGGTTAGAGAGAAGAATTATAATTGCTTGCTGTATTTCAACTTTCTAAACTAGAACTCTGGCCTTTTAAAAAAATTTTTTTTTAGTTGTAGATGAACACAATAGCTTTATTTTATGTATTTATTTTTATGTGGTGCTGAGGATCGAACCAGTGCCTCACACTTGCTAGGCAAGTGCTCTACCACTGAGCCACAACCCCAGCCCAACTCCAGCCTTTTTAAACCGCCAATCAAATGATGCCAGGATTTTTCAATGATCCTTTTCTTTGGAGGAACAGAACTACTTCTCCCTGCTCCATTAGAGTTGAATTCCAATTCGACAGAATCGTGCTGTTAAATGTAATTCAAATTTGACTTTAATTTTAAACTCGATAAACAGGAGGCAGGTTAATGATTTCCTTTTGCTTCTTCTGGCCCCGTGGAAAGCTTTCATTACCTGCTGCAGCAGAAGGCATTAAGAGACTGCAGACAATCTTCCCACTATTAGTGAGTGCTAATGATGGACAGTCTCAGATGACTTGATAGAAAACGATTCTCATCCAGTACGTATTTGCAACTGGCAAACATTGTGCTTTTTCAGTAAATGATTTAATTTGCATAAATGAAAGGATAATTATGAAATGCCACCTGAAAATACACTCATTTAGAAAACATTAAAAGGTAGTGGATAGTTCAAGAAATTGGGTTTTTCCAAATTTAGTAGTATATATCAAGAGTAATTTTAATGCATTTATTTATCTCTTGAGCTAAAATAATTATGGGATGTTTCTGACGGGGTACTTCAGATGGTTAGTTTTAACTTCATAGAAGACTCCCCAAATGGGGCAACTGGTTGGATTCCTTAGGGAAAGTCTCTTACCATTTAGCCCTAATCACATCATTTTAAATGTTAAAAGGCAATTAGTAATATCACTGATTATAGAACTAACAACGTTCTTTTACTGATTGTACCTGTGTTCTTATCATTTGCAAGTTAACCAGCTAATTTCTAATTTTGCCTCTTTCACAAAATCCAAATTAAGAGCCTGGGGTCACTTATTGGCCTACCAGGGAACTACCTTCAATGACAGATCATGCACAATAGGCTCAGAAGCCTAAGACCCAGCCCATCCAATGGGGTTGTGAGATGGCCTACTCCTTTGTGATTATGTTCTTCTTCCCCTCAGGTAAACTACCAGTCTTAAAAATCACAGTCACTCCCCAGATCTCTTCAGACACCTTCAGATCTATTTGGAAAAATAGCAAGAAGTCTAGTAAGGCCCGAAGAAAGAAGAAAAAGAAAGGTTCGTTCTTAAATATCCGTGTTGGTGAGTAGTGTCCACCAGGGGGCGCTGGATGCAGCCTCTGCGCACCGCTGGGGTAGATGGCACCGTCAGATGCAGATGCAGATTTGGCGCTGAATAAAGAGAATTTATGTTTTAGATCACACGCCCCTAAACCAGCGTCCCATTCTAATGAATGATGATTGCATCAAGAGACAAGTAAGGAAGAGAACAGCATCCTTCCCTCGAAGATTTAGTGCAAACCCTGTCTCCCCTTTAACCCCTTTGCCTGCCCAAATTCTCTACTTCCTAGTAGCCTGTTGCAGGTCTATAAAAGGTGAATTTACCCAAACTCTCAGGAAGCCTGCGCTACCTCTTGGAGGGGATTGATTTAGATATGTTCATTCTCTATTGTGTAAAGTTGAAATTCCTCCCTCCAACCCCTTATGATTTCCCATTTATTATCTCACAGGCTAAAAACAGAATATGGATGTCAGGTTTGCACACACAGGTCATCTATTTTGATGGCGACGCAGACATGCCTGGAAGGACATTGCTTGTTCTGTAATCATATTTTTTTTTCATTGTAACCAAAAACATTTTCAAATTCTAAAATTCCAGAAGGTTCTTTTATGAAAATTGAAAGTGATGTTAATCTTATCACACATCATTTCTAAAATGCATGTTTCTCAGTAGGTCTTGGTAAATACAGGTGCGATTCTTCTCTGGGACTTCTTTTTTTGTGCATGTGAAATTTGTAATTTGAAGAAAGTATACCCCCCTTTTTTTCCCCCTAAAAAAGAAAGATATATATATATATATCTACATTCGGGAATAATAGGATTGTTGGGAAGTAATAACAACTTCCTAAAAGGAAACATCCCCTCAAATTAGGATCTTTTCAACCAGGCACATGGTGCACACATGTAATCTTAGCCACTTGGGAGGCTAAGGCAGGAGGAGCCTAAGTTCAAGGCCAGCCTGGGAGATTTAGCTAGACTCTGTTTCAAAATAAATTTTTTTTTTAATTTTTTTTTTTTAGTTATAGATGGGCACAATACCTTTGTTTTATTTATGTTTATGTGGTGCTGAGGATTGAACCCAGTGCTTCACACATGCTAGGCAAGCGCTCTACCACTGAGCTACAATTCCAGCCCCTCAAAATAAAATTGAAGGGCTAGGATATGGCTCAGTGGTAGAGCATCCTTGGGTTCAGTCCCCAGTACCACACACATACACACAAAAGGGATCTTCTCCAAATGAGGAAATTTCTGATCACCCTACTTGGCCTTGAGGATGCTGAACAGCCCCACGGGAAATGGAAGAGGTGTGATTGATGGATGTATGAATGATACATCAGATTAGCTGAGTTTTACATGCCACATATGGTACAGGTATGAAGAGCATGCACTGGGCATCCAGATGAACCAGAATTCTCTGTGGAGGTCCTGGTATTTTCCAGGCATGTGACCTGGAGCAGTGAACTTCACCACACCTCAGTTTCCCCTTATGTAAGAATCAAATAATAATAATACCTGTCTCGTTCTGTGAGCTTTGAGTGAGCTGGCAGATGTTAAAAGTTTTAGGACAATATCTGGTTCATAATGTCACTTAAAAACAAATGCTAATAGCTGCTATTGCCACTGTTATCCTTGGTGGTCGGACTGAGTGGTTCCACCTTATTTCACCTTTGAGGCAAGAAACATTGAAAAGAAAAAAAAAGAAGATTTACGACCTCTTCAGTTTGAAGTAAAAATAAAAATCTTCATTCTTCTACATCCAAATTTAATAAGTGTGCACAGATTCCTGGAAACTAATGTGGAGGTGGGCAGGGAGTATAGCAAATTATCTCACTCTCCAGGATCTTAGGAGCTAGCTAAGACAGATCCTCCTACATTAGCAGTGAGCAATAACAGGGTGTAAGTGTCAAAAGAATGTCATTGGACCCACTTGAATCAAAGTGTGGAATATGATATGTCAAGAAATTTGTAATGTTTTGAACAACCCACAATAAAAAAAAAAAAGAATGTCATTGGGCAGGATAAAGAAGGCTACAGAATAATGACATTCAACTTAACACATTTATCAGAATTTTATGTATCTGATGTATGAAACCTCATGAGAAACTCCATCTACTTAAAAAATTATTGTTTAAAATTTTCCATACCTAAAATCAGTGTGCTTCTTTAGGAGGTGTTTTGGCAGTGTCTATCCACTTGAAAACTGCATAGCTTTTGATGTAGTCATTCTATTTTAGAAATTTGTTTTACAGATACATTTTCATAAGTGTTGGAGGAAATATAAAAATATTTAATGTAGTAACATTTATTTTACATTGTGAAAATTAAATGTCTTTTAAAGGGTCCTCTAAATAAACCACAGTAAATGTATGTGGTGCAATACTACGGAGCTTTTAAAGAGAATAATGTGGATATGTAGGATATTCAAGTGATACTATTTTCAAAATCAGGCTACAGAATAATACATGTGGAAGTTTTATATTAAAAATAAATTGGAGGGGCTGGGGTTATAGCTCAGTGGTAGGGCACTTGCCTAGCACGTGTGAGGCACTGGGTTAGATCCTCAGCACCACATAAAAACAAATAAAAAGATATTGTGTCCATCTATAACTGCACAATCAAAAATAATAAATAAATAAATTTAAGATGGGCACAGCGATGATGTCTGTAATCCCAGCAACTCAGAAAACTGAGGTAGGAGGATCCCAATTCAAGGCCAACCTCAGCAACTTAGAACCTGTCTCAAAATAAATAAATAAATAAAAAGGACTGGGGACATAGCTCAGTGGTAAAGCTCCTGGGCTCAATCCCAAGAACCTAAATAAATAAATAAGAATTGAAGCCAGGCTCAGTGGTGCACACCCGTAATACCAGCAACTTGGGAGGTTGAGGTAGGAGGATTTGAAGTTAGAGGCCAGCCTTGGCAACTTGGTGAAACCCTGTTCCTCACCCCCCCAAAAAAGGGGGGTGTTGTTTCAATCCCCAGTTGCAAAAAAGAATTGATGTAGTGTAATCTAGCTATTTCATCTCTGACTGTATTTCCAAAAGAATTGAAAGCAAAGTCATAAAGGATATTTGTATACCATGTTCATGGAGGTAGCCAAAAGGTGGAAGCAGTTCAAATGTGCACTGAAGAATGAATGAATGAACAAAATGTGCAGACCTACTATGGAATATTATTCAGCCTTTAAAAGGAATGAAATTCTAACATGTGCTATAACATAGATGAGGACATTATGCTAAGTTAAACCCAGTAACAAAAAGACAAAATCCTTATTTCCCTTTATAGGAGATAGAGTAGTTGAAATCATGGAGACAGAAAGTTGAATTGTAGCTGCCAAGAGCTGGAGGGAGAGGAAAATGGGGACTTGTTCTTTATTGAGTACAAAATTTCAATTTTGCAAAGTGAAAATGTTCTGTTACATAACAATGTGAAAATACCACACCGGACTTAACTATGTGTTTAACTATGATTATGGTTGTAAATTTTATGTATATTTTTCCCCAATTAAAAAAATTTAATGAATTGATATGTGTCTGCTTTACATATGTAGGAATTTCTGAAGAGTCTATTAACAGTGCATGTGGGTTTCTTTTTAATTGTGTAACCATTTTTACTTTTTTTGGGGGGGACCAGGATTAAACCCAGGGGTGCTTAACCACTAAACCACATCCCCAGACCTTTTTTTATAATATATGTTTTTTTAGAGACAGGGTCTCACTGAGTTGCTTAGGGTTTTGCTAAGTTGCTGAGGTTGGCTTTGAACTTTCAATCCTCCTGCTTCAACCTCCTGAGCTGCTGGGATTATAGACCTGCACCACCATGCCTGGCCCATTTTTACTATTTTAATGTTTTTTACCACTTATGAGTTGTCAATTTAAAACGCCTGAGATAGTTTGATACACTGAGATGAGCTTGTTAAGCGTCAGCGACAACATTCTCATTGCTTTGGGACCTGGTGCCAAATGAGCAGAAGAAACGCGACCCATGCTGGGGTTTCCTTGGAGCACAGGCATATGTGGTGGCAAAGGCTGCTTGGTGACGATGCAAAGATAAGGAGTTTTTTTTTTTTTTTCCTAATGCAGCCAGAGGAGATGGGGGAAGTTCTGTCCAATTTCAGAGATTTTCAAAGACAGTCCAGAGTGTGTTTGGGTTACAGTGCAGACCATCTGCCTGGGGTCCTGGAGAGGAGTCCTGGGGTGACACTTGAAGGCAGGTTGGGCCCATGATGTGGCAGAGCTGAAACAACCATGTTAGACCAGGACGAAAGAAAAGACCACTGACTCCAATTAAAATCAAATTAAAGCAAGCTTATTATTTCGACCGGCCGGGCTGCCTTTCCCTCCCAAAACCGTTGGAACAAGACAGCAGCCGCAGCTTTCCTGCAGCCCAGCTTTATAGCCCAGAAAGTTACACAAAGGGGGGTTACAGATAACAGAACTCTGAGGAGCATCACACTAATGGTAGCTTACATTTTTGCTGGCCAACATCAAAATTTATGAGGATCATTAGAGCCTCAGAGAGGGTCATTATCTGGCCAGGGAAGGCCAATATTCATGAGGTGTCACTAAAGTTTCGGAGAGGGCTGCTGTCTGGTCAAAGAGTCAGGCATGGGTGAATTCAAGGCACGGGCAGGTATTCCAAGCCAGGTTCAGAATTTGCAGTAATTTATAGTAAAGCCAAAATTAGCTTTTCATGGCTTTGTGGCGAGATGGCTCCCAATTTTGAGAGAAAATCAGGTTGGTTCTATCACCACCTGGGACATTTAGATTTTGTCCTGAGGACAGTGTGGAGCCAGGGACATCTGGAGCAGGAGGGTGCCAGGTGGAGGGCACTATTAGAGGACAGGTAAAATTGGGGACAGAAGAAAGAAGGAAACCAAGGCAGGGGAATGAGGTTCAGACTCTGTTATGCTCGAATTCGGGACACCCAAAAGACCACCAGAGACCAAGATCGATGTAAGCAGCAAAGAGGCATTTATTGTGAGCTAGCTTGGTCCTCTGCACACACACAGCAACTGGTGACACTGAGAGGCCCCGAGCCCAGGGTTTGCAGCAGTTTTATTCACTCTTTGGGGAAGGCAGGGACTTCACATACATCATAGCATCTCTTAGCAAATCATCACACACCTCGGGAAAATCATAAAACATCTCTAAAACATGATTAGCACATTCACTGGCGGGAACAAGTTGGGTAGGGGTGATTGGTTAGTACGAGAGGGGGGATTCATTTGAACTAATTGGTTTAAGCCACGAGGGGAGTATTGCTGAACTACATGGTTTCCCACATGTTATCTACCACCATAAACTACTGGGGGCCATCTGGCATCCCAGGTATTTTCCCTGTCTCATGCTAATTGGTGGTTGCTAGGGGGCTGCTATGGGTCCTCACCTAGCCTGAGTCAGGGACACCTGGCAGCAGATCTCTCCTGTTATTTGTAGATAAACAATTCAGCAGGGTGGGAATGTGCCTAGGAGTGCTCGGTGAGTCTTTCCAAGGACAAAGGTCATGCCCCTTCCTTGGACAGGCTTTGCTCTGAGGTACAGGCTGGTTTTTCAATTCCACATTGGGAACGGATAGCTGGGTTTATTCTAGAAACTTCTAAAGGAAGATCCAAGGTGATTGTACCTGGAATAAGAAATGGAAAGAGCCAAAGGCATCCACGGTGTCAGGCCAGGCCAGTTATCTCTAGGAGAGTGCCAATGTCTGGCTGGGCACAAATGCCGCAGTCTGGCTGGGCACACAATCACGAGCCACCACACAGCTTGTAGATTCAAACAGCAACTCTTTATTCCCGAACTCACACCAGCCGTCTACAATCACGTTCTGGGGAAATCCACGTTCTCTGCCCAAAATCCACCTCCACTGGGCTTCTATCTCCAAAATATATTGTCTGAATCCCGTGAGAACTCAAGGGGAACTCAGGCAGCAGGATACGCCCTATTCCCAGCAGGAATAATCTTAAACCTTAAACCTGGAACCTAAACTGGGAACGCCCTAAACACGATTATCTTAAAACCGGGAACACCCTAATCTGCCTTGGTCCTTGAGCAAGGTCACGTACATTCAATGTCACTGCAACATGTCAGCAACATGGGGTACGCTGGCAAGGAAATTGTCATACCTACTTGGCTAATGGCTCCCAGCAGGAGAGAATTACACTCAGGCAGAGAAAGCGAAGTCTCAAAGGGAAGCTACATTGTTCAAGAAAGGTAATGAACTCCCTTTTCATTGGTTGAGTCTGGACAAAGGGGAGCTGTTCAAGCAGACGTGACCAATGTCTGATAGAACACTCTGGCAGGATTCAGTAGAGAGGTAAAATCACACATGGCACCAGGCCCGATCCAAACCTGGAACTCGAAGATTCAGGGTGGAGCAGTTTCAGACAACTTGATCAAAATCACTCCTGAAAACTCAATTTTCTTAGAAAATGTCATCAGGTTTCCAAAGAAGTCACCATGAGTTTCTGCATCATTTTCATCTATTCTGAAACACATCTCTTTTTATTCATACCTGAAATTAAGTAACATCATGCAATGAATGGTTAATGTCTTAACAAAACACTGTTTCGAGGATTTCAGAAATTCTCCTTAAAAGGCAAATTACGTTGGTTGACTTTATGCTTTCAGCTGTGTGTGTTTGTGTGCACACGCGCGTGTGCTGGAACTGGAGAACAGGGGTAGAATTAGGGACTTCTGGCCACGGCCTTCATCTAAGACCAAAAGGGGCTAATAAACTGTAGGGTTCTACCCGACCAAGGACCAGCAGATGCCCAAGGGTCCCGTGGGAGTGGACATCATTATTTCCAAGAAAGAAGTGAGATGTGCCCTGGCTCTTGGTTTTGCCAGAGCACAGGCCTGCCTAGACAGGCCTTCCCAGCAGGAGGTACCACATACATTTCCGACTAACTTTGATTTTGGCCTCCAGGACAGTTTGGTTGTCCTTGATTTTTGCAGTGCTTGGCTAGAATCCAGGGCCTCATGCACTCTAGGCAAATGCTCTACCA